TCCTGCTGCAAGCTGTCGACTACGCGAAGTCGTTTGTCCCAATATCCAAAAAAGAAACAGACATTTGCACTGCCTCATATCGCTGTTGTTCAACAAAGAACAAGCGTGGGTAAAGAAGGAGAAGGATGGATCTTTCGACGTAACTATGGGCTCATACGAAGGAGCCGAGGCCTGTGCGCTTGTAGGAGCCTTCATGCTCAGCAAGCTCCGCCCTCTTCTAGGCGAGGAATGTGTCGGATTGTATCGAGATGATGGTCTGGCCATAATGAAGGATGTCACCGGCCATGGAGCTGACCGCTTGCGAAAGGAGATAATCCAGGTGTTCCAAACACACGGCCTGAAGATAACGATAGTCGCTAACAGAAAAGTCGTCGATTACCTCGATATATCAACGAACCTCAATACCGGTAACTTTCATCCGTACCAAAAACCAAATAGCACTCCAGTATAATTATGTTGATGTCAGCTCCTGCCACCTGCCACAAGTATTGAAGCAGATCCCGGTTGGTGTTAACAAGCATCTTCAGCAGATATCTTGTAACGAAGATGTCTTCAATGACGTCAAGCCCGTATACGAGGACACCCTGGCAGCAAGGAGACATCCAAGAACCATGACATATAGTGACGAACCGGAACAAAGGAAAAGAAGGAAGCAGCGTAGCCGAGATGTGATTTGGTTTAACCCGCTGATCAGTAGCACTAGTGCGACTTCATGAATAATAGCAGTCTAGGCTTGTTGGTTTGGCACGAAGGTAGTAAAGTAGTACATTTGCATAAGTTGTGTTTTGCGGAACTGAACGCTATGCCTTAGGTTATCACTAGTGTAGGGTTCATTTTATCACCTACATGTCACACTCGTTAGGTTTCTCACACTCAGTGCACCTCACATTTGCTTTACTTGCGAAACCGTTCAGATGTTGTAGAATAAGGGTGTGTAGCAGTGAGTTTTCCTCTCTCGCTGTAGCATTTTAGATTCGTGGCGAAGAAGTGAAGAATTGCGTTTACTATTACTACAAAACTTGTTGCGTGTTGTGCGTGCGGGTTGAGATCACCGAGGGTTCTCACCACCCGCCCTATAGCACAACGGTCAGAACCAACTTGGTGTAAGGTTCCTGGGCCTCATCAAAAAGCATTTTCGAAAGGGATCGGCACTGAATAAGATCTTCAACAAAAAAAACAAGATGAAAATCAGCTACAGCTGCATGAGAAACGTAGCCTCCATCATCAAAGGCCACAACGCTGCGAAGCGTCAGCCAAGGCCGCCCGTTGAGCCATGCAACTGCCAGGTCAAGCCATCCTGCCCGCTCAAGGGGGAATGCCAGTTGACTGACGTCATAATACCAGGCACATGTGTCATCTCCCCAGACCAAGACATACACCGGATTGACGGCCAACACATTCAAATCGCGCTACAGCAACCACTCAACAACATTCCGGCATGAGAGATACTCTACATCGACGGAGCTCTCCAAGCATATTTAGGATCTTCAAAACGCCGAGCGCAACTTTCAAATCAACTGGAAGATAAAAGATCGCGCCCCATCCTACAGCAACATCCCAACTGACACATAGGGTCTGTCTCATATGCATGCCCGGCTCCTTCCCCCGCCGACATTCATATATTACCAAGATCAGTACAAGTACAATACCTTGTGAACACAAGGATAGTCCATGGGATGATAAATTGATAACGCTCCCGGCTTTCTAGAGCATGGATGAGGAGTCCACGAATGATACCGAGTCCTGTGTGGAGTGTATCCGTAGTTAATGGGCATGTGGCCGTCGCCGTCGATATCCTGTCAAAGAAACATGACATTGTTCAGCAATGATTCAGTAGTAGTCGCCACTACAAAAAAAAGTCGGTGCACCGCTAAGAGTGCGACCACCGGTATGTACGTGTAGTACACGTACATAATAGTATAGAAAGCAAGTAGGGAATACGGAGTCCATTTCCGCCACTTCCGCTCACATATAGCTTGCCTAACTAGGCTTGTGCCAATAATTTGCTACCACTAGGACTGAGATAACTCCGGTGAATTGTCGGAATTCTGCTACGCCTATCTAACGATAGTACACGAAACTAAGTTCCTAAGCTGGTTGTGTTTCTCAACGCAATTGTATAGCCGGTGTTAAAGGGGAAGTTAAGGCAAAAATTAAAATTTCACCAGTTGTAGTCTTCGGGGTGCTGAGTCGAATGGTCTTGGTCCGAGGAAGCTGAGACGCTCCCTTCCTACTTGAATCCCAATCGAACTCGCGCACTTCCACCGAAACTGGGTGACTGCGCCCTACTAGATGGGGATTTGTATGCAAAATCTCACTAAAAGCGCCATTTCGTTCTTATAAAAGCACGGATGACCGCGATTGGCCCATATGTTGTAGTCTTTGGGACGCTGAGTCGACTGGTTTTGGTCCGAAAAGGCTGCGATGCAGCGTTCCTCCTTTATTCCCAATCGAACATGGTTGAAGAAGCGGTCACGTGGTCCTGGGTGCCCAAATCACCTGGTCACCACGCCAGCAGGTGACAACTTTCACACCAAGGTTCAACTCGGGTTCAACTCGAGTGACAGGACTGCACCCAAAAAAGGTCAAACAGGCTAGTAAGTTGTACCCTGCAGGCACGGTGACCAGGTGACTGGTGTACGCAGGAGCACGTGACCGCTTCTTCAACCATGTTCGATTGGGAATAAAGGAGGAACGCCGCATCGCAGCCTTTTCGGACCAAAACCAGTCGACTCAGCGTCCCAAAGACTACAACATATGGGCCAATCGCGGTCATCCGTGCTTTTATAAGAACGAAATGGCGCTTTTAGTGACATTTTGCATACAAATCCCCATCTCGTAGGGCGCAGTCACCCAGTTTCGGTGGAAGTGCGCGAGTTCGATTGGGATTCAAGTAGGAAGGGAGCGTCTCAGCTTCCTCGGACCAAGACCATTCGACTCAGCACCCCGAAGACTACAACTGGTGAAATTTTAATTTTTGCCTTAACTTCCCTAAAGGGGAAGTATACCCTAAAATCAAATTTTCACCAGTTGTAGTCTTCGGGGTGCTGAGTCGAATGGTCTTGGTCCGAGGAAGCTGAGACGCTCCCTTCCTACTTGAATCCCAATCGAACTCGCGCACTTCCACCGAAACTGGGTGACTGCGCCCTACTAGATGGGGATTTGTATGCAAAATGTCACTAAAAGCGCCATTTCGTTCTTATAAAAGCACGGATGACCGCGATTGGCCCATATGTTGTAGTCTTTTGGACGCTGAGTCGACTGGTTTTGGTCCGAAAAGGCTGCGATGCGGCGTTCCTCCTTTATTCCCAATCGAACATGGTTGAAGAAGCGGTCACGTGCTCCTGCGTACACCAGTCACCTGGTCACCGTGCCTGCAGGGTACAACTTACTAGCCTGTTTGACCTTTTTTGGGTGCAGTCCTGTCACTCGAGTTGAACCCGAGTTGAACCTTGGTGTGAAAGTTGTCACCTGCTGGCGTGGTGACCAGGTGATTTGGGCACCCAGGACCACGTGACCGCTTCTTCAACCATGTTCGATTGGGAATAAAGGAGGAACGCTGCATCGCAGCCTTTTCGGACCAAAACCAGTCGACTCAGCGTCCCAAAGACTACAACATATGGGCCAATCGCGGTCATCCGTGCTTTTATAAGAACGAAATGGCGCTTTTAGTGACATTTTGCATACAAATCCCCATCTAGTAGGGCGCAGTCACCCAGTTTCGGTGGAAGTGCGCGAGTTCGATTGGGATTCAAGTAGGAAGGGAGCGTCTCAGCTTCCTCGGACCAAGACCATTCGACTCAGCACCCCGAAGACTACAACTGGTGAAAATTTGATTTTAGGGTATACTTCCCCTTTAACGCGGACGTGCAAACTATACTTTACTTTACACGATGTATAGAATAACGGCGAGTATTTCATGGTTCCAACAGTTCCAGGCACTCAGTGCACCATGGTTTCCATCGACAGAAGCGACAGAACAATACCGCTAAAGCCAGCACAGGTGGACACTCCACAATGCAGTTCATTCTTTTTGGACAAAGATGCTGAATACAGACTCATGTACCTGTTTGGCGATTCTGTCACACCTTCCGGCGTTCCTTCTTCCTGAACTTGCGGACCGTGTAGGATGTGCAGACACCTTCAAAACTGCTCACTCAGTCCCGAGTTGTACTTGTGCGCAGGAAGCAAGCATCATAATATCACTCATACACCGTCCTAAGTGGCGGTGGCAGCGCGCTGCTCTCCTGTGACAAACGGACCACAGAGTTCGACAGAGTAGCCGTTATTTGCCACAAACCGGAACAAACGGGAAAGCAGGGTTCACCCTGCCAGAAAGTTCTTGCCTTTCCCTGGCTGAACAAACTGACTTGAATTGAAATGAGGCTGGAACTTGAGGAGCAAGAAGCAGGGAGTCGTCACGACTTTCTGATATAGCCATAATTTTGCCCTCACCTGATCTGAGTGAAGCGCGCGAATTCACTTCTTCAGCTGCGAATCTTGAAGCACACCACTTTTCTTTCATTTCAGTTCAGCGCAGTCACACTCGCACTAAACGTGGTGATAAAACTGAGAGTGCAGAGTCTTGATGATCCTGAGTGATAGTGATAATGATACAGGTCCGTAGTGATCATGGTGATCCTGTGTACACGTACCACATATGCATGCAGCATGTGCACGGATGGAGTGACAATATACTGTGATGTTCCTTGCATGCTGGTACTACTACTAGTGTTAGTCTAGCTCTGTGGTGAGTGAGGTGTGAGGAAGTGTATCCCTCGCCATGCGCCAGAGCAACCCTCGAACAAACCGCCCACAGTATCACCATCATCAGTCGATTCATCACCATGATCACCGAGCCGACACTGCGACAGAGATACTATTTTTAGTATTACTACAGACAGTACAGTAGACCATGCACGGACGGTAGACTGAGTCTGTATGAAGTCAGTTAGACTTAGAGTGTGTGTGTCACCATACCACATTGTAGATCTACCAACCCTAGATCCAGACAGCCTAGTAGTATTAGTAACACAATCACACCCTACTGATGGAGTATAATAATTATTACTAGCTTTAGTTTAGGAACTGGTGTCAGTGGTGACTAACTAAAGTTACTTGATAGGAAAGGTGCAAATATTAGCGGCTTCCTGGTTGTGGACGCTGAAGCAGGGCCACGAAGACGTATTACCAAACCGAGCACGCTAGCTGGACTTTGATACCTATGCGACCCATCTATCGATCATTTTGACGGTGGGGAAACGACATACCCGCAGATCGCTGCCCGTAGATCTATTTACTATAATTTCCGTTACACAAGTTACACTGGATCCCTATCAACGCTACAGTGGTACGTTTTGGCTGTGAGACTCCTACTCCTAGCTGGCAATTCGTGGCAGTCACCAATCATGTCACAATGGTTATTGGAAAGTGTGGAGGCATTCCTTCGGAGTCCTTTATGGAGCGCTCCTATCATGACTTTCATTGAGAACAATTGCCTTGGTAAGTACATGCACGGGGACGGGGCCTGGGGGTGCACTGATCCCTGGCAATACTGGCATTCAGTACTGTGGGATACACTACATGTGCTATCCATTGTACTGTATCAATTTCAACTTTTTAAACACAATGCAGCAGCATGGAATAGAACCACCAGTGCATGTAGCAAGCTATTCCCTGTGTACATGGTGTATGCAGCAAGCTATCCCCGTGTGCATGCAAGCAGCTATCCCCTGTGTACATGGTGTATGCAGCTTGGGAGACCCTGACTGAGCTCATGCATCAAGTCCAGCATCACAGCTCACAAGCTGAAGAAGACTGCTAGTAGTAGAATAGGGCCAAGCGGCCCCATTGATTGATGGCTATGCATACCCGTACTCTATGCTATTGACTGTAATGTGATTTCTTAGCTGCTACTCCACCGTGTGTCCTCAGTAGCATGGGCGTATGTACTGAGTGTATACACCTTCAGCTTTGTACATATCCCCATCGTGACTCTGGGCCATTTAGCATAAACATGTCGCAGAACAGAAAGTTCTTAGTGCTGTCATGGTATTTGCTGATGCCCCCCCCCCCCCCCAATCTTATGATTGAATGATATCTGGCAACACTGCATGCTGCAAGAAAAGGAATGTTATTTCCAACTTACGGTATACCTTTTTTTTGCCAGCTAGCTGGCCTCTGCGTACACCGCAGACACACCCACACACAACAGAAAGATACAGATCACGGTAGTAGTGCGGTCTTTGTTCACTCACGGTGGAAGATGGAAGAGCTTAGCGTAGTGTATAGATGAGCATGAAGAAGGGCATGCCACCTCACGCATATACATGTACACATATGTACCAGACCAACATAATGCAAAAAGATAACCACTGTGGCGAATGGGGCCGCCGGATAATTAACCAGCCTGAAGCTGGCGGAAAAAACCTCAGGACCCCGGCGGAGGCACAACCCTGAGGAAAAACCGGTTAGAATAACCCCATAAGATAAATGAACAAAACGTAGCCTGCAGGACCTATCCCGAAGTGAGAATAAAGGGGAGGGCGGGTGGGAAACTACAACGAAAAGAGAAAGACCACGATGAAGAAAAAAGTTTGAAAACACTGACAAAAAAACAGCTGACGCAATCCTGGTGCCGTAACTATGGTGAAAATGCTGGCAAAAAATACATTTTTCGTTTCATTCGCTACGCTCAGCCAACGAAAAATAACACTTTTGTGTTTGATTGTTGCTGCTGCTGCTGCTGCTGCTGCTGCTTCTGCTGCACCGATACATGAATGCATGTAGAATTTGAAGACTGTGAAGAGAATAAGCTGGAGTACACCTTAATACACAAGGAGTACACAAAGCTGGTAAGTTTCCTTTGTACACGTCAAGTACTGACTGAATCAGATGTCACTGAGTGGCTGCTGTGCAGTCATTGTACAGGTGCACGTAAACTGGTTTACCCAGTCTTGTTGTTGCCATGGTTTTGTTGTATTTCATGACACAACATAGCAGTTACTCAGCAACAGTACATGTACAGTCAGACCTCACTAAGCCGGCCCTCTTTTATCCGGATCCCTCGCCATCCGGAAGAAAATAGCTGGTTATGGGTTTATAGTATATGTGATGCATCCAACATAACCAGTGTTCGGTTATCCGGTTCCCTCGCCTATCCGGATTTTTGTGTGTAAAACGGGTGTGTGCAGTTAAGCGAGGTCTGATTGTACATGTATTGTAATTATACTAGTACATGTATTATAGCACATTGCCGATGATGTTCTACTACTCACAGCCAGGTTACTGCCGTGTGGCAAAAACCAAGATCCTCGCACACTGTACAATAAGGTGTGACCACGACTGTGTTGGACCAATGGTCGAATGCAATGTAACGACTTTCATTGAGTGATTCCGGCACAACTCTGCCGCACTGGTTTGTACCATTGCGCTCAGCACGCATTTTTGAAAGTTTATACAAAAGAGAAAGACCAAGGAACTACAAGTTACGCTATACTGTCCACTGTCTTTCTCTTTTGTATAAATTAAACCTTGGCTCTCCATCTGAGTCCATTTTTGAAAGTAATGGTGCGTATTTATCTCTCCTCCCGTGTGGCACACGTTTGCTTCCTGACTGGAAGTCCGGTGCCCCATCCCAAGCTATTGGGAGCTCTTGCATGACAATGATCAATGATTAGCCAGGATACTGGCCAGCAACAGTCTACTTTGTCGTCGGCACCATAATTAGCTCATTGTGCTCAACTGACATCATTTTCGTCCCAAGTGGTTATTTCGGGAATTTGGGCGAGTTTGGAAGGTACACAGTTTGATCATCAGTCTCTTAACTCCAAGTCACGTGCTTAACAGACCAAGAATACTCCTTGTCAGGCATGGTAACTAATGCAACACTGGCTACATCCTCCAACAAGACTCAATGGCAGTCTTGGCCCCCAGAGTGTGCTTGGTTTGATACCGTGATACACATTCGTATGTGGCTGTGTGTCTCGCTGTCTTGTCAATAGGTTGACTTGTTGATTGAGAACTTCCTCCGTGATTTGGGTGTCTCAGTGGAAGAATTTGGTGAAGCGTGCAAGAGAATGGTGGCTATTGACCAAGGCGCACAAGTAAGCTACGTCAGGGTTCTAGCCAGGTCGAAATAGTAGAGGGGGGGCATGGGAAACAGTTACCCCGTATCCCATTTTTCCACTTTCCAATATTGTCTTGCACCGCTAAATGCAACGTATGGGGCGAATCCCCGACTTCACCTCAGACAAATGTGCATTTATGAACCATCTAATAGTGACTTTCGACTGCATTTTCATGAAAAACACGAAAATCGGAAAATGAGTAGGGGTGCGGCACTTTTTCACAGGAGGGGGGGGGGGGGTGCACCCCCTTTGGCTAGAACCCTGCTACGTGTAATACTTACTCATACCGCCATGGCACCTTGGGTTCCCATTGTGTCCGGCGTAGTGGTGTAATGTCACAGCAAGACTGTCACCTGTGATTGATACATTGCTCTCTGAACTTACGTTGTTTCGGTAGAAGCTTGTGCAAGCACTGGCAGAACATTTGACTGCACACTGTATGCATGTGCCTTACTGTATGCATGTGCCTTACTGTATGCATGTGCCTTTCCTACTACGTGTATGGGCACTTAGTACAGGCCCGGGTATTTGCCCTCTTGTGCTAGCATGTGCTATGTATGATCATGTTATCTATGACTAGTCACGGACGTCGGTTGCTGCGCTGCTCATGTAGAGCATCCCATCCATACCTGGTCTATTGTCATTGATGCACATTTTGGCCATGTACATTGTACCAGACTAACTAATTTAGTTTGTACACATACATGTGCAGTCTTCATCAGCACTGTTTTGTGCAATAAACACTCTGATATAGAGCATTCAAGTGAAAGGCACAGTTACACAGCGCCCTCCACAGCTTCTGGTTGGCGTTAGCCTTGATAGCAAACAAATTGCTGATATATGAGTTCCAGCAAGAATACCCCCCCCCCCCCTTCAGGAGTGTGTAACTCTCGGTTAAGAATAGCTGGCCAATATCCTGTCTCCTTGCGTGTTCCCATTGTATGCGGTTTAGCGTCTTATTGAGCAGATAGTCTCAGCAACCGAATTTGTATTGTTCAAGTCGATGATGGTTGCCACCAATGATCGTCTCAAAAGGGAGGCTATCCAGCTCACCTTACAATGGGAAGCACAACTGGTGGGATCACCACCTTCACTATCTTCACAGTCAAGTTCACAACCAGACAAAAACGCGTATGATGTAAGTTGAAGATGCTGATGGCTGACTTGTTCCCATGATAATGTACATGTTGTGTGCTTGGATGCCGCATTAGGTGTGATTAACATTGTGTAATAACCTGCAAGCGTGTGATGCTCTAAGCATGTCCTGGCTTTGCCAGTGGCTATACAACAATATGAACTGCCTGGTGCATTGTAGCACTACAGACTGGGGATAGGGGCCTTCCAACACCTTGCAGACTACAAGCTGGCAGTCTTGGTCTGCACAGATTCAGCACATGCATGGCTATCCTTGGAAACGTTACACGTGTCCTTCTGCCGCTGGCACAGCCAAAATAGTAAAATGTTATTGTAGCACACATACACAATGAACTGAATGAAGGCAAACCAGCAGCATAGGTCTGCCTGTACTAGTACCTTGATTCACACTACCGCAGTACATGTGCTATTCATATGACCAAGACCATGTGTCCCTGTGACAATCATACCGGTATCACCTAGACTACATGTACATGAACTAGAGTGGACAGCAGCTCTGGATACAGGTTTTGGTGCACGGGATTGGGTGTGGTTTCGACATCATTGTATGGTAAAATCTGGGGTCACCTGTTGTACCTGAAACAGCGCAAGACTGGAGTTTAAGGCCGCAACCACACTACGTAAAAATCACAGTACAAATTTCCATGCATATCTCAGTACAAGTCGGTACGCAACCACACTACACTGTTCGGTCTGCATAGATGACGCTTTCACGCGACCAGCACGTGACGTCGTACCAAAGCGTGTGCCATGCATGCGCTGGAAAAGACCGGGAAATTCAAAAACAATGCTGATGCTGATACGTGGCTTTCTACAGGGCTGCGCCAGTTGCTGAAAACCTACAAAGCGCATTTTGCATTTCGCACGCGTCGGCATGACGATTTCTACTGTAATGCCGTTTGTACGTGATTTTGTATCTAGTGTGGTTGCAGCCTAAGACTGCGACTTCAGTGATTCATCTTGAATAACATAAAAGACAAATTCCACTTTCCCTAACTCATGGCGAGTGGCACACTCTGGGGTTTTGTACTCTTGATAAGACGAGCAAAATGCACATATATACATGCCTGCCTGTCCGGCCTCTTCATGCAGACAACCCGGCTGGGTGATTTTCTTCTTCTAAAAGGGCAGCAAAAAAAAAAGAGGAGATATTGTGTGTATAGTATGCATCGCTTGCTGCACCGAGGCGTCTTCAGTGCAACATGCAACTGCCATGGTCGTGATCTTGTGTTCAGTATTAACTCTCTACTTTGTTTCTGGTGCATAGGATGAGGAAGCTCTTTTAGCCAAGGCTATTGCTCTATCACTGCAAGAAGTCAGTGCACAACCATCACATGTGGATGTTGCCAATAGAGGATCATCAGATGCATCACATTCGGACATTGCAGCCAAGCAACCGTCACACGTCGATCTCCACACAGAAGAGGACGAGTTACAGCGAGCACTCCGCGAGTCCGCTATCGCTATAAAGGAAGAAGAGAGCAAACTGCTAGAAAAGGAGGAGGATGCAGTACAGCTGGCTATTCAATTGTCGTTGAAGGAAACTGCCTCATCCAAGACACATGATGGTTCAAGTGCATCGGCAAGCAGTGCACAAGTTGTAAAATTGCCACCTGAAACAACCGGCGACACATGTGTGCAGAGCGCAGGTGCAATACCGAAAGACAATGCAATGCCTGGCAGCAAAGCAACAACAGTGACAGCGACTTCTGCTGTGAGCAGCAGTAGCTGTGATGGGAACAAACCCGGTGAGAATGCAACAGACTCCGTTAAGACTACAAATGCTCCAACACCCGCAGCACAAGCTACAGCAGTGTCTGCGTCGACCAGCCAGTCTGAGACCAGCGTGAACGAAACATCTCTCAGTGCAGTAAGCCATCAGCCACCGCCTGCCGGCCTGGGTCCACTCAAGCACATTCCATCTAGTCCGTCAAGTTCGGCACTGGACGAGCATCCAATGTCAACAGCACAGGTAACCGCATACTATGGCATGCAGGTGTGGAGGTGGATACATCGTGTGCATGCCGAGGGATCTTGGGGTATTCGGTTTAGCTTAGGTTGTGCACATTCCCGGCAGTATTACAGAGAAACGTTCGCTTTCTCAATTTAATTAGGGGTTGTGAGGGAAATAAGGAAAGTAACAACAGGGATAATAAACTTTGTAGCGCGGTTTGATGTGGAATAGGCGAAAAGTGTAGCAGTTTTTCGCAGTTTCCAGAAATGTCAGAAATTAGATGAACATGATTGCACAACATTTCTCAACCAAGCTCATTCACTTCTGTTGAATTTGGTTCGAGTATGATTTACGCACGTAGTATATGGTTATTGTCTTGTAGAGTCCGGTGTCTTTTTGTTTAGTCTTGCATTTCCTTTCTCCTCCTGTGCCCTTGCCGTTTGTTGAATATACGGTTCATAAGAAATCAGAGCAAGTCGTTTGCGTTGTCGTGTGGTGGGGGCTCGGGGAGAAGCACCATTTCACATATGGACATGCATGATATCTGCTGCAGACACTAACATTACTGTGCGTGCATGCATGTGTATGTGCGTGTGTGTGTGTGTGTGTGTGTGTGGCGTGGTGTGTGTATGGGTGTGTGTTTGGTGTGTATTTCTATGATCCTGCAGCCTGAGCTTGACGTCGACACCATTCAGGAGAGAAGCAAGCGGTTGAAGTCACTCCGGCAGAAATTGGTTGAAAAGAAGAAAGCGTTGCGTGAAGCTGGCTTGGAAAGTTACACAGATCGTAGAATTGGTGAGGGCTCACGCGAGAAGCCATCCGAAGTGGCAAAGTCAGCGACAGCATTGGCTAGTCTGCCACCCCTGGATCCGAAGAGGCAAAGTCTGACAAGAGGCAGTCGTCCGGTCAGTGCATCATTGGCTGGAATGCTCCAGCAAACAAGCAGCGGCACCACCAGCGGCCGCAAGAGCAAAAAGTAGGTGCTGCAGCCTTCACATGCCGCCGCCCACAGCTAGACTGTGCAGACAAATCGCAATGGAGTCTTGTTGTAATGCGAATCACTGAAGTACAGAACCCGCAATCTGAGTGCACTTACTCCCCAAAAGAACTATGTTGTATCGCTAATAAACTGAGTTTTTGGACTTTGAAGCACTATTGAATTTTTCGTAGGATGTTAACTGTAGTAGAATCAGCAAAGTGCAATATATTGATAGTTGTACTGCTTCAGTTGCAGTTCGGTATGCTCTGCAGTAGTCAATGTTACTGTATGTACATTATTATTATTATCCTACTACTATAGCCTAATTCAAGTAGTTTTTCGTACTACAGTGGCTGCTGTCTTGTGTATCATCATAAAATTCATAATGTACAGTGCTGCTCAATGAAATCCAGCCGAGTCACAAAAGTACGCGCCGGGCGTTGCGCAGCCTAGACCTGCGAAAACTAGGTTGCGAAATGGTGCAAGGCGTAGACTTGAGTGACACGACTGGATTTCATTGAGCAGCACTGTACATGTACTTGACGATGCTGTACCAAATCACAAAGAATAAAAACGTCCAGTCTTGTTGAACTTGACACTCTGTCAAACAATAGTGGTTCCCCATCTTAGTCACGTGACTGCATTCGTGTACTTCGGAAGTACATGATTGTAGAAAGTGTGCACAACGTGTGGACAGAGGAACCATCATGGCCGACAGCATGTGGTCCATAGATGCACGGGTTCTGTGGTGTTGGAACCAACACAGCTGCTCCATAATTATGGTGATTATGTGATAAATGTGCAACAGCTCTATACGTTGCAATGCAGATCCTCAGACAGAGAACACAGACACACACACACATGCACACAGATACACTTACATGTAATATTGTATTATGTATATGTATGTATACCAGGTCCTGTACTGAACATTGCCGCGAGCTGTGAAACAGCAGATCTGGGCAGGTAAATTGAGGTTGGTTGAGCACTGTATGCGGCACACTGCCCAGGTTAGCGTCCAGCGACAATTCTGAGGTATTTTGCAGAACAGTGAACTATGAAGCTGAAAACCTCTCTTTTGTGGACCGGCAGAAACTGAATGGGTGTGGCAGGCCGCAGCAGCTGCAGCTAGGGCAGTGAGAGTTGTGCCTCTCTGGCATGGGCAACAGTGAGAGTTGTGCCTCTCTGGCATGGGCAACAGTGAGAGCTGTGCCTCTCTGGCATGGGCAACAGTGAGAGCTGTGCCTCTCTGGCATGGGCAACAGTGAGAGCTGTGCCTCTCTGGCATGGGCAACAGTGAGAGTTGTGCCTCTCTGGCATGGGCAACAGTGAGAGTTGTGCCTCTCTGGCATGGGCAACAGTGAGAGTTGTGCCTCTCTGGCATGGGCAACAGTGAGAGTTGTGCCTCTCTGGCATGGGCAACAGTGAGAGTTGTGCCTCTCTGGCATGGGCAACAGTGTGACCTACACCTACACTGATAGTATAGTACTGATAGTACGGCTTTGCAGGAAGACAGGTGATGGCTGTACACACAACAGTATACCTGTTGTGTAGATCTACCCTGTACTCACTGTGGCACCCGTGCCTACCATCGTATTCTACTGATGTAGGGAAGTTGGGATTTCGCTGCCACAAATGGGGGGGGGGGGGGGCTCTTGGTAATACTCAACTGCATGCCTAGTGCCCGGGCATTCACGCCGACAAAAAAATCAAACTGTGAATGTCATAATTATACAGTCATGTACATTTCACATAAACACAATAGCGTACTAGAGGGATGTTACGCAACTAATGGATGCTACGAAGACTGTGCACACCATTGCACACGCAACTGTCTGAAAATCAACATTTTGAACTCAAGATTAAAATTAAAGTCATGCAATCACAACTTTGACTGGACAAATCACCAGGCTAAATGAGCACACCAGAAAAAGCACACCGGGGGTATATGTGAGCCAGAAAGGCAGTAGTAAGATATAACTAAACCACACATCCACCAGTAACAACACCCAGATGGCCATGGGAACGTGCCACACACACACATCACACGGTTGAAAACAGATGCCAAACAAGACGAGACAATTTAAAGTAACTAACGTAACACATTGGGTTTGACTACACGACAGTGCACAACACTACGACAGTGCACAACACTACTGCGCGGCGATGGCAGAAACAGCAGCCACAGCCGTCGGCTCCGATGACACTGGCACGAAATGACCGGTATTTAAGTTGGAGGAGTACTTGTACTGCACTACATAGCAGCGATAACAACCATCAAATGGCCGCTATCCGCCGCACTGCTCAATAGGTCAGGAGCTACACGGGCAACGTGCAGCTCTGTAAAGTCACACGGTGGGAAGATGTGAAGTACAAAACCAGCACCAACACCATTGGCAACCTGCAGCAATAAACATATCGACATCATTTCAGGAAAGGAGAAGAAGGCGCGTGCAAAATGCGTGTAGACAGGCAAGCCAATGAAACGGTGAGCAGATCAATCTGCTCTCATGCTACAGAGCTGCACATGGTGAAGTAAAATGTGTGTGCAATATCCACTCTCCAAATCTGCAATGACTATGTCACAGTATGTGGTGATAGGACTAGCCAGTTGAAGATATTCATCAGTAAGTATAACCAGACTGTGACATTCTGATTAAAGAATTCATTCTCAGTATTCTTTTCATCGCCCCACCAAAGGAAATACTATCATCATCCTCCTCCTCAAGACATACTTCAAAGTAGTTTCCGTATGAATTGAATGAAAGTAAATAGATGATACCATACCTGGTGTGCAGAGGGAGCGTTGCCAGCAACATTGATAATGCCAGCAGCTTGTTTGTTCTGTAAGTAGGTGATGAAGCCAGTACGAAGTGCTCGTGTCTGCGCATGAACATCCAATGGATCACGACCACATGGCAATGCTAATAGAAGACAGTGCTCCATCTCCGCCTGCAACAGCAGCAACAACACAACACATTTACTTGTATGACAAGTGACACAGAAGATCTTTTACACTGGAGAATAAAAAGGCTCAGTACCTGACGGTAAGTATCCGCCTTTACACCAAGTAAGTAATTCTAACGACACATATACAGTATAGCTCTCTCTCTCTCTCTCTCACCCACACTCTCTCTCTCTCTCTCTCTCTCTCTCTCTCTCACCCACACTCCCACCCACCCACCCACCCACCAGCACCACACACACACAACTACTAACCTGCATACGTAACGCCACGCCTTCTAGTTGTGATGGATCTAGACGCATCCTCTGGGCGATACGCAGAGTTGCGGCCGCAGAACTAACAGTAGGTTGAGGTAGAGCCAGCTGCGCTAGCTGCTGGCTGCCAGATAAGAAATGCATTTGAACAGCTGCTGCATCATTCTTCAGAGCAAGATGGCCTTGCCACATGACAGGATAACGCTGTAGCAGTCCTAGTAATGCATTTGCTTGCACAGGTTGTGCTGCGGTATTAGCAGCTGCACCTGGTGCCATCATCTGTTGACCTCCAGCAGCTGCAGCAACTGCACTACTTGCAATGGGCACTTGTGTGGCGCCAGCAACAGCAGTTGCTGACAATGCAGTGGATATGACAGTACTCTGCGAAGCAACTGCAGATGAAGGTATGCTCAGAGCAACAACTTGATTCTGCACTGCGCCGGCAGGCACATACATATCTGTCGTTACAAATCCAGCGGGAGCTGCACTGCCAGCTGCTGCTGCTGCAGCTGCTTGCTTTCTCTGACTGTCAGCCACTGCAGCGGTGTTTTGAGCTGCTACAGCAGCGGCAGCCAATGCTTGGCCATTAGCGTCATAGAGGAAAGTAGCTGATGATTGCGGCACAACAAAGCTCCCGGGAGCGCCAGCAACGCTCACAGTGTACATGGGTGTTGCTTGATTCACACCTGCTGCTGCAACAGCAGTGGCACCACCAGCAACAGCACCTGGATCATTAGCAACAAGTTGACCTTGTTGGGTTATCACTTGCTGCTGCTGCTGTTGTTGTTGGTGCTGGTGCTGATGTTCCTTTGCAGATTGCTGGCGGGATGATGGAGAGTAGCTAGGCGAGCGTTGCTGACCTCCATGTCCAGATGGACGAGCAGAAGAATCACCATGCCGTCTCCAAGATGACCGATGTTGTTGCTGTGGGGGAGAATATTGATCACGATCGCGCCGACCAGACCAGTCATCGTGGGTGGATGATTTACCACTGCCCCGAGGCGACCGACTCACCTCGCCTGATAGCCCTGGTGAACGCCTTGAACGTCGCGTTGAGCCATGACTGCGTGACAACGGAGATCTGCTACGACTTCGGGGAGCCTGTTGGCGACTTGACGAACTCGGCTTGCTACTGGAGTGACTGGACTGGGAGGATTCGTGTGATCGTTCATTGTCATCACGCCGCCGTCTTCGTTCATTTCCATCAGTAGTACTACGCCTGGATTTGCTACTTTCACTGAAATTGTCTTTATCACGGTGTGCTTGGTGATGGCGAGAGCTTTCACTACGTTCACTACGCTTACTTGGCTGCAGCGAGTTGCTGGCTTCACCATGAGATTGCAGAGCAGACTGGCGAGATCCAATGGTGCCACCGCTAGTACTTGAGCTGCTAGCAAGACCAGTACCATTGCTAGTATGGCTTGATGATTCTCTTGCATCTGCATGGCCTGTGTCACGCTGTGATTCACTACGTGCAGGGGAGTGGCGTTCCTCTTTAATAACAGTCTCTTGCGACCTGGACTTGCTGACTTCTACACTACTCTTGTTTTCAGAGCGCTTCTTACTCTCAGAGCTTCGTTTAGAACTAGTAGAAGAGCTGTGACTGCTAGCACTGGTAGTAGCAGCAGCAGCTCCACTAGTGGCAGCACTGTTTGAAGTGGATGTAGATACTCCTCCAGCACCGCCATTACTGCTGCTGTTGTTGTTGCTGCTGCTGCCACTGCTGTTGTCAGTAGAGCGTTGCTTACTGGAGCTGCTGGACTCTTCCTTTTTAATGCTCATGCTAGATTGGTTGTTTTTCTCGGTGGAGCCGGCAGTCTTGCTAGGGATAAGGACATCTTCGTCAGACATGTCTGACTGTGGTGAACGTGTGCGGGCTTCACTCCCGTCCGTTTGATTGTTCATGGGTACATCACTGCCATCATCGCCATCTTCACCCTGTTGCCACACACGCTGCCGTTGACGCTCACGCTCTCGCATGTAGCCAAAATTGCGCAGTTCACTATCATAATCCTCATCTTCATTGGTCATGTTGCCCCTAAAGTGGCGCGTAAATAGACCTCTGCCACCTGGGCCATTTCTAAACATTGGACCATTGCCCCGGCCACCGTGCCCGCCCCGGCCACCAACGAAACCGCGGTGGAAATCTGGTCTGAAACCACCGCGGCGACCACCGCCGGGAGGACCATGCGGAGGCATGTCACCAAAGAACATATCGCCATGACCGGGTGGTCCCGGGGGTCCTGGCGGTCCGGGCCCAGGTCCCGGTGGTCCGGGGCCAGGACCTGGGCCTCCACGGCCGCCACCGCCCATTCCCATGCCATCTGGTGGTCCACCACGCATTGGGCCAATGTCTCCTCCCTGCTCTTCCAACTGCTTGTAGAAGGCGCTCCGGCTGTTCCGATTGGCAAAGTCAACCTGAGCCAAAAACAAATAAGCAAAAGCAGCTGTATTATAGTATAATGTGACACACACATACACTCAAGGTTAATATTAACTAGTCATAAAAGTGCAATAGGGTCCAGTGTCGATGGGTGATGCTGCTGAAATCATGATTCTAGTTCCAGACTAGCACCAATAGATCCGTAGCTACCCTTGAGGATATGTATGAAGCAACCGATACAATCATTCTGTTACCTTGATACCAAAAAGCAGTAACTGCATCAACAGCAGCAGCACCTATAAAAGTTGGGTCACAAAGAAGAGACTATACTAGACTGGAGAGGAAACTGACCTTGAGACGCGAACCATGGAAGATTTTCCCACGGAGCTCATCAGCAGCTGCCACTGCCGAGTCTTTACAGTCAAAGTGGACCAGCGCTGCTTTTTGAGCTGGGTTGACAGCAACTTCCAGGACTGCACCAAACCTGGAACACTTGCGAGCGACATCAGCATCAGATACATGATGGCTTATACCACCAATCCACAGGGTATGTGTGACAACTCGATGACCAAAGCCCACCTATTGGAAAAGAACGCAGAGAGAAATGAGAGTGAATAGTGGATAGGATGAGCAAGTAGCCAGGAACAAGTGCAGGCAAGTTGCAAAGAGTGAGGCTGCATTGACTTCTTCAAGATCAGGGGTACATAGACTTGGACCACAGCCCTCATAATACAAGTCTGCTGAGATGTTGTTTTATCTAAGTCTGCTGAGCTAGCTGCCAATGCATAGCATAAATCAGCACTGCTGTCAATGCATACAATAATCAGCACTGCTAACAGTATATGGCATAGTAGAGTAGAGTAGATATTGTTGCTAATGCATAGATTACAGTAACATTGAGTGCCGAAGAACACGGTCTCAGCTTCGGGCTAGTGATCTTCTTATTTCGAGATTCTGGTGTCTTTGGTTTTATTCTGTGACTGTGCACTCAAGTAGTACAGCTACACTGACTGTGTATGCAGGGCCACATGAAAAAGAAACTGGTGTTCCGAAATCTTTGTTTTAAGCATGGCACACTCTTTTAAAAACGTTAGAGATTTTCCACCCTGGAAGTTCTTTGGCGCCCAAAGTTACTAGTACCGTAGTCAAAGCTGCTGCAGATGCATAGCGTTGCCAGTACTGCTGACAATGCACATCTCATTGATAGAAGGCAATCACAGGCAAGCAGAGGCATGGCTGCTGCTCAACAGAATGCTAACCTTGCAATATGAGCGTCCAATCAGCTGTGCGTTCATCAGCGCTTTGGCTCTACACGCACTGGTCATGTCATTGAACTGGACAAACGCATACATGCCGGACCTCTGCGACTTCATGTCGACTTCCTGTGAGCCCATCAACATCACAAAGCCAACAAATTGTTAATACAGGACAATTGAATATCATCCATATCAAATCAATTATGCAACGCACTGCAACCGCGTGTGCGTGCGGATACGCACTACTCGGGAATACCCGGGAAGTCGACCATCTTGGAAGACGACGTAGTACATGTGCCAAAACGAAGCGTGTTTCAAACCTTCGACCCTATACATGTACTCAGAAGTCCTACATGCTCCATGATCTGTCATACATGCAACTATGCACGCACACACACACGCGCGTGTGCACACGTCGCCCACAAACACCTTGACATGCAGTAGCATTTCTACTTACCAGAATCTCCCCAAACCGACTGAAGACACTGCGCAAGTCATTGGGGGTAACCGCTTTATCAATGTTGCCTACAAACAACGTGCGAGTAGCGTTGACATCAAACTCTTCCTCTAACTCTCCGGTTACATCCTGCTCCACCGTGACTTGAAGCCGTCCAGCAGCAGCACGATGGTTGGGAGGATGACTAGGAACCGGTCCAGGTGACATCTCCTCTTCAGGACTATCTGTCATTGGTAAATCTGGAAAACCTTCAAAGGAACCCCCGCCAAAGCCACCAAATGCATGATAGCGCCTGCCACGGCCACGGAAGCCGCGCTCATTGCGTAGGGTTGGCAAAACTGTGCACAGAATCAGACCAAAGAAGTGTTCTAAATGTATAGAAACAACGGGGGTTTCACTTCCAACGTGCACCAAGAGCGTACTTATGTGTCTGAAATGGTGTCACTTAATCCATGTACATGTAATAACATGTGTGTGTGTGTGTGTGCGCGTGTGTGTGTGTGTGTGTGCGCGCGTGTGTGTGTGTGTCGAAATACTATAGTAATACCAGTATTTACTATTTCACCGACACGGGGAGAGGCGTGACTTCGCCTTTGCATGCCGGTAGGCAATCTTATTTATAGGTAACGATTTCTTGTGAAGCTTTTGTGTTCAATTTTATATTTCAATTGAGTGTTCTATTTACTGTAGTGTCTTGTATAAAAGCATGTCTTGTATAGAAGCCTGTTTTGATTACAAGCCTGATTTTTAAGATACACTGTCAACACATAAGCCTGGTTTAGTGTTGACATACATAGAGATACGTGATTAGAATATAAGCCTGACTTGAATAGAAGCCTAGCCCTGATATCGGCTTATACGGCCGTAAGCACCTGCTTTTATACGCGACAGTACGGTATTTCCGAAATTGGGTTGCCTTTTTGCTTTGACTCTTACTTCATGGCTTCACGCGATTGCCCTAATTGGTGTTGTGAATAAAACCGTTCTCAAGTATATACCATTTTGGTATTTACGGACGGTCCCTTACCTGAACAATTCGCCAGGCTGATTTTCATTTCACAGCCAAAGAAAGTACGATTTTGTACTGTTTCCATTGCACTCTCCGCTTCTTGAGCCCTGCAACATAGAGAACAAAGAAAGTTTATAAGTTTTCATTGGTGCTTCACACAACACAAATTATCTGATGCAGAAAGAAGTTGACAAGACCCACTGTCACAGAACTAGAAGAAATATCACCAGCATGCACAAGTTATCATAAGTGGCAGCAAACTAGCACGATGAATAATGATAATCCATACTCGTATACTCGACACAGCAGTAGCAATACCAGTACATACTTCTTAAATTCTACGACAGCAAATCGATTTCCGTTCTCTTCGTGGACATTGACTTGCTTTACTTCACCATGCTTCTTAAATTCATGGAATAGACCTTCACATAAGCTACGCTCTGCAGTGATCAAAGGAAGACAATTCAAAGCAACTAGTTTAGTGTCAAGACAAAAAAATAAAAACCACTTCCCCGTTTATAAGGTTGCATCCAATTTTAAGCCGTACCCTCCATTTTAGCTCTCTGCTATGTAGTTTCAGTGTGTTCACATGAGAAACAGATCACACTCGAATGCAAGTCACACCCCCTGCTTGCTTGTTGTGAAAGGTGTGACTTTCATTCAGGGAGCACAAATAAAAGTGACAGCTGTTCCAGAGATCTGATTCCCTTGTTTCAATTCTACTGTACCGCTTGGAAAGAGCAACAATGCAAGATGAGAATCTGACTTCTGCATGGCGGGTGTATTTCAAGGTGTCCGCACCGTGGCACAGACAAATGTGAGAGATGACATACAATGCCAGTGCTTGATATGATCCATGTCCGTATTTCCAACACAGTCATTTGGCAACACTGACAAGAGATCGTGTAAGACAGTATTCACATCACCCTACTATGGTTCGAGAACAGAAAACCTTCAGAAGTAGAGTTTCACTTCCATCACAATGACATGATCGTGAAATCATTTTGTGATCATTACCACTTATAGTCTGTTTCAAAAAGATTTACAATCAGGTTTGGGTCTTAAAAAGTATGAAGATAAGGGAAATTTGGACAACAAAGTACATAGAATGGCTTGTTAGGACACGGCAAATTGTTCTGTGAAGGTTTCGGAACAATTGGACCAACCGTTAAGGAGTTAGAATTTCGGCCAGGTTTCCGGCCTTTTCCCATGGTTTACAATTTGCCCAGGAAGCCAGTATCGATTTTTTTTATCAAAACCCACGATTTATCCCTTCCTTTTTGGCCTTGTGGTTATGAATGCTGTCTGCTGACCATGAAGTTGTGAGTTCAAATCCCAACCTATCCTCACGTCAAACTTTTTTTTCATTGTTTTGGTGATCAAGCTGGTACAAGACAAAGAAGGTGGCTGCACCAAACGACTTGTTGTTGGAGCTCGCGCTTCCTGCCGAACTGACTGACACTTGACTGGCTCACGCCATGTGAACACACCCACAACACTGCAATGGTGTGAGTGAATTATAATGGAAGTCATCGCGCTGTAGCTTTTTGAGATTTATTTTAGTATTTCAAGATCGCCAATTTATTTGAATTTAGCAGTCAACGCCGTCTTCTATCAGCGTTCACAAGCGTTTGCTTTTCTCAAAATGTCGTCGAAGTCACACGGATAGCTTTGCCAAGTCATGGCCTTGGGAATGAGTCCGTGTCGATGTCGTTTTCGTCACACGGTGAGTAAATTGCATCGCAGCTCAAAGAAACTATTTTGGTCACAAAACGGACCCATGCAGCTCGTCAACATTTACAACACTTTCGTTTCGACATGTCCTCTCTGACTCCATTATCGATACGAGGAAGAACTCGTTTGTTGTAAACCAGACGTACGTCCATGACTGTCTGTGTCAACGTGAGTGAGTTGTCATTTTTCCTGCTTTCGCGCGGAATATTTCTTCGAGTTCACAGTGAGTTTTTCCAGGCAGCGCTCGAGTGCTCATACGGTAAGACGCCAAACTCCGCGGGCGATCGCCAGGGTTGTAAATCTTTTTGAAACGGACTGTAGGGCATTGCCACTGCTTTAGAGCTAGCGAGGTAGGAATGCCAGCTTTCCTTGCCAACGTTTGCAGGATGCTGATGACTGGCACACAAAGGAAGTAACCAGCACCAGTACAACTCAAAAATTGTCAGGTGGTTTGGATGACTCAATAACTCAAAATGCCACCGGGTTTTGTAACCAAATATTCGAGTTGCACTCTCGGCTCAGTAAAGCACCAACTTCTGCACTTGGTTCGTGATCTGTTGGGCCCAAATCCTAGCCACTACCCTACACATGCATAATACAGTCATAGTCAAACTCTCCTTATCCCGATGAGTATTGCACTACTGTTGCGCTCGGTGAAATCCGACCCAAAGTGCAAAGCCAGCGCCCAGGACCAGTTCCAATTACGGTATTAAGGGCGCCAAATATGCACTCTGGGTCGGATTTCACCGAGCGCGACTACATGATCTCTGATGTACATCAGTTAGGACACAGAGGAGCATGCCATACCTGTGTGCCGATCCGAGATATTTCGAACAACGAGTACGCGCAAGTCATTACCCTTTGCAGCTGATGAGCTATTGGACAATCCACCGCCACCAATGCCACCAATGATACTAGCAGCAGCAGGAGCAGCATTACCAATACCACCATCCCGGCTTGATGCTCTTGGACGGCTGATGCCAACATCAGCCCTACCACGACGCACACTAGTTTCATTTCTGTACAAGATCAGTGTAGTAGAGAAAGACCGCACAATAGACCAAAAGAAATTGCAGTGGTACAACACATTCTCCTCAACACGGACGCAGAGGCACACACTGAGTGACGTCAACATAGACAGTTGCCAGTACATGGCCTAATAGGCCTGCCCTTATGAACACTGCCTTACAAGAGCCATGAACATGTCCCTTACGCCTAGGTCACACTACGCAAATTTGAAACTGGCCGAAGCGTCAAACCCAAGCACTTGACGCTGGCGTGGAGTCAGGCTGTGTTTACATGAGAAATTTCAACCTGGGTTGGAAGTCTGTACAATGGAAAAAAATAGGTGGGTGATTGTTTACATGAAGACAGTTGACCCGGGTCAATTACTGATATGCCGCCAAAAGTCCACTTCTCGAGTCGTGTATGGTCACGTGAATTCGAGCGAAATTTGCCTGTGCAGTGCTGCTCAAACCTGGTGCGAGATGCGCACAGAAGTACGGGAGTACAATTTCCCGTTTCAACCCGGGGCGAAATTACACCCCGGGTCAAGCGCAATGTGTCATGTAAAACGCGCCAGTCAATCTGTGTTCAGGGCGGGTTGAAACTTGACCCGGGTTGAAACGCCTCATGTAAATACAGCCTCGCACTGTATTTTTTGCTTTTGAAGCCGTAGCCTGACGCACTTCACAAAACCACTGTGGAGAACCAAATCGCTACGATAGGGTACGGTACACTATTTTCGAAAGTCACTGTTTTTTCATGCAAGTGCTGGCAGCGTCAACACAGCCGATTTGCTTGCGTCAGACGCTGCTGCGTCTAACGCTCAAATGTCCCACGTTTTCGTCAGTTGCCATGGAAAACTCATGAGTCTGATGCTGATGCAGCATTTTTGACGTAGTGTGACCGAGGCTTTATATTGAACATAACTACAGCATAGCCCTTCCCCAGAAAGCCTAAGATGTCTGACTTCTTACATTTTTGGGGATAAAGACGAAGGAGCGATGCAATCCAATGACAGTTGCTCATGGACACATGAAAACACCAGCATGGATCAATGCAACGCAACAATGCATCCAAGTAACACTGATCGTATTGATCATCGCCTGCCATCACCTGCACGCTTTCTCTCCAAATTAAACAGTCCAGAAAGCTAACGCATATAAAGCGCAAACTATAAGGACTGGTGCAGCATAAAACTCGCATCCATCTGCATCCATTCTGCCCAACCACGCTCCGGCAAGTGGCATTAGTACACTGCCAAAACTATTTGCACCAAACTCTGCACAGGCCTGGATCATGTCACCATGTAATTTGCCAATGACAGCAGCGTGCTTCCATGGTGCATGTGCTCATATACATGTGAAAGAGCATGCTCTTTGTCATGCATTGCAGCCTCCCAAACATAGCCAGCACTGCAACACTGCCCAACTCTACGAGAAGACAGCCAGCAACCATCAGCATTCTGTGCCAGATATCAGCGCCAATCCTCATCATGGATTCATAGTGCCATCCTCATCGCCATCACCAATAACAGCAGCAGGTTAAATACTACAGGCACAGTTGTCCACTCTCCTGCTTGCACAATATCCAAACTCTAGTGAGCAGGGATTAATGTTTCCTGTGAAACTAAACAGTTCCCTTCTCCTGTTGCAAACTGGCGCAGAATGCCTCCAGCAACCAAGTTCTGGATAAGGAGAGAAACTCCCTGGGGTACATCGGTCTGAACACACACACATACTCTGCTACCAGCAGCAACAGCAGCATTCCATGGCCATCTACTGCCCTGCTACTAACACTAGGAACAGCTCGTACTCCAAGAGCTACAGCAAGTCTTCCACAATCCATTCTTCGCTCAGATATCAGAGAATCACTACACGGCCCTAAACAGCCAATCAGCTCCAGTCACCAATGTGCCGGCGAGCCTCCAAAAACGTCGGCCAGGTAAAGCCAACGACGAAACGATCCAATTCCAGGACTACAATTTTTGAAAAATGGGGCTGGCACAGCATTTCACCACGACTGCCTGTAGAGGAAGGTCCGCCTGCCATCCAGGTAAGCGCACCAAACGCCAGGAGAGAGGCTGGTCAGGCTGCACACAGGACACTCCTCACTTCGATGAGCAACGAAGCCAGCAATCCCAGTGGATTTCAAGTATTTCCCATACAAGAACATCGCACAAACTTACAAGTCACTCCTCCGATCCTGCCACTTCTTGCGGGAACGATTTAGACTAGCCAGGGTTGTCTCGCTGTACTCTGTTCGCACATCCTCTCCACTGATAGTAACAGAAGCATCGTGTGCAGATATGGCTGATTTGATGTCCATAAAATCCACAAGTGCAGTTCTTTCTTCGCCGTCCTCTCCAGCAGGTAGGAGTTTCACCTTTTCGATAGGACCGAATCTGCAGGAAAAATACGCGCCACTTAGACCAGGTTCTCAAGCAAATAATACGTGTATGTGTGTGTATCTGGGCGATAGAGAGAGAAAAAGAGATAAAGGAAGAGAGAGAGGGGCAGAAATGTTACCTATCAAAAGCTTCCTTGATTCCATCCTCTTCGCAGGACTCGGGAACTCCAAAGACGATCAGATGGCGGCTTTCACGGGCCATGGTTTCCACAGATAGTACAGGGAGGTCTATAGGAAAGACATGCTGCTATGGGACAACTAAGCGACATGAACGCCTCCTTCCACCCAAGAAAAACACAACTAAAATCTGTGCTGGTGATGGTGTATGGGAGAAGAAATCATCGAGTCCCATCTACATCGACCTGGTCTGCACACAAGCAGCTCTGCCATGCCATGCCATGCCGGGCCGTGTGTGTGAAGTCCGCTCTGATTACCACGCGCGCCGGTGGACGCTAGCGCGCTCTCCTGCCCGCATGCAGCGCTAGTTAGTTCTATGAGTATGAGTAGGATAGGACCAAGACTGGCAAGAGTCCCTAACGGGACTCTTGATAGGACTCGTTGACCTACGCGCGCGGTTAGCTAGCTGCGTGCATGCAGCGTAGATCAGTATCGCGATCGAGTCCTTGGAAGCGCGTCGTAGTAACGAACGGGAACGAGGTGTGCGTAGCAGATGATCACTGATCTACCAATGACTCGACTATGTGGCTGAGCTGTACATAGATCTACTAACTCTTGTACATGACTCATACTTCAACGTCGTTGACGTCCATCATGATTCATAAAGACTAGACTATGTAGTACAGATTGTATATCAATCTCGTTTGGGTTTGAGGTCAGTGAGGACATACATGTACAGCGCCGGTTGCACGTGGCGGATGATCCAACACGAGTCACGAGACTGTTAGGCGGTGTTTACATGAGTCGTTTCAACCCGGGTTGAGTTCGACCCGGGTCAGCTTTCAACCCGCCATGTGCATAAAATGAATGGCGCGTTTACATGACGCATTGCGCTTGACCCGGGTTGAAATTTCGCCCCGGGTTGATTTCAACCCTCCCCCCAAGGGGAGGGTTGAAATCAACCCGGGTCAAGAAAATCGTACAAACGTACTTCTGTGCGTATCTCGCGCCAGGTTTGAACGGCACTGCAGATGCAAATTTCGCGCGAACGGATTCACGTGACCATACAGGACTGTAGAAGTGGACTTTTGGCGGCATATCAGTATTTGACCCGGGTCAACTGTCTTCATGTAAACGCTCACCTCTTTTGTCTATCGTACAGACTTTCAACCCGGGCTGAAATTTCTCATGTAAACACAGCCTTAGTGTACATGTTAGAGCCGAGAGTAGTACTCAGTAGTAGTAGTCATGGTAGTACTCAGTAGTAGTACTAGTAGTATATCATGCAGTACAATTGTAGATCTACTCAGTATAATAATTATTTTTATTATTATCAGTGTACTACGAAAAAAAGTGTAGGCAGTCGAGTCGTACGCGTCGTGTACGATGGTGTAGGTCTACATGTACAGTACAGACGATCTAGACGACTCCCTGATTGGAAAGGCTTCCTGTCTGAAGCCTTTCCATACTGGTACTCGATGTTCCAGTTTTGTGACACGAGAATGGCACGAGAATTAGTGTACCGCTGAGTGTACCGCTATACACTTGGTCGACACGTAGTCGACACGTTGTTGATACTTTTTTGACACGTGACCCCGTCAACGGTCTGCTTTGTAATTGTGCCAATGCCACTCGGTAAACGCCGATGTCGCGTACGACAAAGACCACTATCCCGTACGCGAAATAGTTGAGAACTGCATGACGTGGACCTAGACCTGACGGCAAGGACAACTGCGAGGAGGCCCCTTTCGGTACCCCTGACGGGAAGGAGAACTGCAGAAGTCGACGAAGTCGAACGAGGAGGCCCCTTTTCCGTACCCCATACTGCAAAGTGCCATTGATGGATACCTTTTGCACCTGGAACGACCCCTTAAACGCTGTCGCGGCGACTATCCCGTACGCGAAATAGTTGAGAACTGCTGACGTGGACCTTTTGCACCTGGAACGGCCCCGTAAACGCTGTCGTGTCGGCGGAGTGAATGTGCAGGGTATTAGTCTAGGGTGAAAAGAATTGCTGCAAAGACGTCCCCTCTACTAGGCTCTAGGCCTTTGCCTTTGGAGACATCGTCGGCGAACTGAATGCGCAGGGCGAAAAGAATTGCTGCAAAGACGTCCGCTCTAGGCCTTTGGAGACATCGTGGGAACTCCTTCCGGTACTATACAAACTGCTGACGTGGCCGTGGACATGTACATGGAGAGTCATGGTGGGACTTCATGTACATGGATACATGGTGGGAATTCCTTCCGCCACCCCCGTACCGCAAAGCCAACGGTGGGGAAGGAGAAGTGCAGACGTGCAGGAAGACGAACGAGGAGGAACCAGGACGAGCGAGCAATGGCAGGACTAGCTGGACCGTAAGTAATAGCTGAATTGTGCATGACAACTTGACATCCATGCGGCACTCGCCACTTGCCACTGCATATTTCTTGTCCACTAACAATGTCTCTCCTCTGCCCCCTGTGTGTCCACGGCCCTGTTGCTGAATTGGCCCGATGAATCGAATGTCTTCCGCAACTGGAACGGCCCCGTGAACGCTATCGCGTCGGCGACTGAATGCGCAGGAGGGAAAATATTGCTGCGAAGACGTCTCCTCTAGACGACGGTAAGGCACCCCATTCATATGTTGCCAGTGTGTGCCAGGGTATCGCGCGATGGTGAATGCGGAATGATGAAGGGTACGGTGGGACTGTAGACCTGTTACCTTCTACTAACACGTTATCAGGTGGAGAGTGTCTTGTACTCACGTTATCAGGTCGAGAGCGTATTGTAGTCACTCTCTCTATTCCTGTACTTCATTACGTTAAAGGTGTACGTATAACTTCTCAAAAAAATTTAATGGTCTACAGTCGTGTCGGAAGGGTACGGTGGGACTGTAGACATGTTACCTTCTAACACGTTATCAGGTGGAGAGTGTCTTGTACTCACGTTATCACTATATCAGGTCGAGAGCGCATTGTAGTCACTCTCTCTATTCCTGTACTTCATTACGTTTCAGGTGTACGTATAACTTTTCCAAAAAATTTAATGGTTCACGTCTTCAGATAGAGAGCGTATCGCACCCACTGTCTAGTCTCTGTAGTGCATTGAGATTTTGTTGATCGAACATGAAATGGATACACAGACAAAGCCAGGCCAAGTACATGGCGAGATGTCGCCAGAAGAACGTCTTCAGGTAGAGAGCGTATTGCACCCACTGTCTAGTCGATTTTGTGGATCGCACATGAAATGGATACACAGACAAAGCAGGCCAAGTACATGAGAGAGTGGACGATGTGCAGATCGACACGGCCTGCGGGTACTTCATTAAAGTTACCCGTGACATAATTATTATTATTATTATTACTAGGATAAAAGTTAATCACTGCAAAAACATTGCCAAGTATGTGAGCACTTTGGACTTGACAGAAGAGTGCACGGGCGACGTTGACAAAACATACTGCGGTATCGCACATGAAATGGATACACAGACAAAGCAGGCCAAGTACATGAGAGAGTGGACGATGTGCAGATCGACACGGCCTGCGGGTACTTCATTAAAGTTACCCGTGACATAATAATAATAATAATTATTATTACTAGGATAAAAGTTAATCACTGCAAAAACATTGCCAAGTATGTGAGCACTTTGGACTTGACAGAAGAGTGCACGGGCGACGTTGACAAAACATACTGCGGTGACTGTCACTATCATGACAGCAGGGCACATCGCACGCAGCATCGCAGATCGTGTCGAATTGCGCATCATAATATTGCAAAATTGCTCCTGTGCATGCAAGTGGATTTCACTGCACTTCTCAGTTTGGGAAATGCTCGATTATGACAATTTTCCGTGTGAGTGCACTAGCCCTGAACAGACATGTAGGTGACTCGTAGCCTACCTCACGACCTTCTGCTTTCTTTCTTCATCACTTGTATCTTGCAGGTATATCATCCCGTGACGACCACATTGAAGTCTGAATTTGAAGTGTGAAGATGCTTCAGCAACCACATCGTACTTTTCCATTGCTTTCATTGTGCTTCTACTGTGCATGTGTGTAACTTGTGGGGTAAACATGTGATGACATTGTATGCTGGCGACACGGTCAGATGTTCATGCGTCTAACGTACACCTGCATGTTATGCATTGAAAAGGGTTTGCCACTTGCGATCCTGGGACGAGTATCAGGTCCGCTTTGTCCTGTGTGGGCTGTATCAGATTGCTGTTCACTTCTCTATCTGTTGGATATGTGACTTTCTGCAAGTTTCTGGTGTATGATGGCCACGTCCTTGCTTGTCACTTTGTATGATAATTCTGTATTCGCTGCTTCCATGGCATGGTCTGCAAACTGCAATCCTTGGGCAAATGTCATGTTTGCTATGTTGTGCTTTGGCCGTCAGCTTGTCTACACGCTGTAGTTGAATTATTTTTGTTTCACAACTGACTTCCTCAAGTACGGTGGCCACTGCTTTGCATGGCATTATACATGAAGAATTTCCTGTTTGTGCCGTGTGCATGTGCGTATGTGTGCGTGGCCACGTGTGTGTGCCGTGTGCATACACATGTTTGTGTATCTGTGTGCGGGGTAGCGAGGCGGGGAGGGCTGGTATGTATCAGTGTGTTATTGCAGTCCCATGGCTACATACAGTACATCGCGCGCGTGGTCATCATGTTTACCTTCGGGGTTGGGGTGGGGAGGGAACGGAAAAAGAGCTGAAATTATCCATATAAAAATCGCTCTGTGAGCGGTTCTGAAAAACCTTTACTGGTACTGCCCCGTCGTAAAAGTAAGAAATTAGAACTGGCCCATTGTCCCCCCAAATGCGAACTGATCCACCTAAATCGCGAATGACGGGACCCGAACGCACCAGTAGCACGAGGTTCCTACCTGTGGATGCAGATGGGGACGTTGGTCCGGACCATAGGCCATGTACTGTACTTGTAGCGGTAGGCTTCCCTATCAAAATAATAAATTCTACTGCTACTACTGGTGTTACCCTATGATAATTGCCGTGATCCTGTGCCCTCCCGACCTCGTGCTACTGGTGCGTTCGGGTCCCGTCATTCGCGATTTAGGTGGATCAGTTCGCATTTGGGGGGACAATGGGCCAGTTCTAATTTCTTACTTTTACGACGGGGCAGTACCAGTAAAGGTTTTTCAGAACCGCTCACAGAGCGATTTTTATATGGATAATGTACTAATACACCATGTACGTCAGATCAGTAGGCCTTTCCGGATTATGTGTTTGCATATTTTTGCATTTTGGGGGTCAAAATGCATTTTGTCCATTTTGACCCACTTTGGGTCAGGGAGTCGTAAAATACCGGTATTTTACGACTCCCTGCAAGCGATAGGTACTTCACGATCACCATGAATGATCACCATGGTGCCAAATGTCACGCGACTAGCTGTCGCCATTTTGTTACCATGGCAACGGTGGCATTTTTTGTGCTTTTTGGGTAATTTTTTGCATTTTCTTTAGAATTTTTTTTGATTTATAGGGGTTTTTCAAAACACTTTCCATTTCCATTTTAGACCAAGAAAAAACGCATAATCCGGAAAAGCCTACAGATCAGCCGGCCAGATATGCACCGGTAGTACGCGCGCGGTAGCTAGACGATACGCGCGCGGTAGCTATGAGTATGACTCGAGTATGACTATGATATGAGCGCGCTAGCGCTACGTTGACGCAGCGCAGTCTGCGCCGGCATGCACATGATCTGACCAACTCAAAAAATTAGAAAATAAAAAAATCTTGAAGAACAAAAAGCTGAGAAAATATGCGAGCTTGATGTGGAAAAAGGAGTGTGGAGCGAAGTGAGCTTTCGAGTTGTTGAAGTTCCAATTCAGGATAAACCTTTGTACCTTTCAGCCAGCAAGTATCTTGTTGTCAAGTCACTTGTAAACTGCTTTATTGTTTATCACTTCTCCTGGAATAGAATAAAGTAAAACAGTTGCTCTGTTTGGTATTTTACTGACGTGATGGCTCAGGGTGACTTCGGAAATCCTCTTAGAAAGTTCAAGCTCGTCTTCCTTGGCGAGCAGAGCGTAGGAAAAACTTCTCTCATCACAAGATTTATGTATGACAATTTCGACAACACCTACCAGGCAACCATCGGAATAGATTTTCTATCCAAAACTATGTATTTGGAGGATAGAACAGTGCGCCTTCAACTGTGGGATACAGCTGGTCAAGAGAGATTTCGTAGTTTAATTCCAAGTTATATTCGTGACTCTACGGTTGCTGTTGTTGTGTACGATATCACGAATGCGAATTCATTCCAGCAGACCAACAAGTGGATCGATGACGTGAGGACGGAGAGAGGACAAGATGTTATCATTATGCTTGTTGGCAACAAAACCGACCTTGCCGACAAACGCCAAGTGTCAGCGGAAGAGGGAGAGAGAAAGTCCAAAGAGCTTAATGTGATGTTCATTGAGACAAGCGCCAAGGCTGGTTACAATGTAAAGCAGTTATTCAGACGAGTAGCTGCAGCACTACCAGGTATGGAGAACAATCAGGCCGAGAAGAAGGACGAGAATCTCAGGACAGTTGAGATTGTGCCTGATCAAACTCCCCAAGCAGATGCCTCAGGTTGTGGATGCTGACCAATCTGAAAATTCAGTCCAGTCTCCAATCTGGTGCTTCCAAGCTGCAGGTGCTACTACCTACGTTTTAATGGTGAGCCACGGTAGGTATGGGTTAGATATTTCTTCCTTTCGTCTCGTTAGTCCATTCTTTCTTTATTTTTCTTCTCTGGTCTATTGCACGAATGCTGATCACAGGCGTGATTGTTGCCATGACGACAGCATTCTTTAACCAATTAAAACTTTGCACAGCGTGGCGGAGGTTGGAATGTCTTTCAGATTAAAAAAATCTCATTTTTACGGTGGGTCGAACATGTACTGTGTACAGTGGACATCTCGTAGTCATGTCCTGTATGTTTGCGTTGATACTGCCATACGATATCCTAGTCACAACTGCTGGCCTGCCATTGCATAGCTGCTGGCGATTGTGTCACTCCCGCTGCCATTGCAAGCAGCAAAGAGTAGCATGATGTGACAGCACAGACAGTAGTGCTTCTGTGTATAGATGTTTGTGTATATGTGTGTGTGTGTGTGTCCTAATCCGCTTCACAGTCATACGCCATGATTGGAAACCTGTATCCCCTCCTGCCTTGCCCGTTATACTCACTGCCTACATGATCGCCACCACCAGGCTTTGCTATACCCACCACTTGTATGCATGTGTACTGACTACGCAATGTTACAAGCGTGTTATATTTGCCCTTGCTGCCGCCATCATGTCACCGGCACATTTTCTACTAATTTCTCATTGCTGTTCTTGGTTGCTACCATTCATCATCAGCTTTTATGCGTATGCTGCTTTGCAGTGTCTTGTCCTGGACTTGTATGGTTCTGTTAGATTTTTCATAGGGATTGAATTATTGACCATTATTATCTACCCTGCCAATTTTGCTGTATGAAGTGCATTTTTTAAGAAATCTGTGCCTATTTGTCGTCTGGTGGTGTGTGCATGTTTTCATGTTTTCTGCATTTTTATGGGCGAGCACGCATGCCCACCTGTGTGCAATGGGCAGTTGTAATTTCATGTTGCCGCCCAGTGTTATGCTCAACTTCTCCTAGTTGTTTGGTGCCTTCCCGGTAAATGGGGCAGTATCCTCGCCTTCAGCCTGTTCCAAGTAGCCTCTGCATGACAGTAAGCGAGTTGATGAATTTAGTTTGTGAAACATCGTACCGGTGTCCTATCATTACACACAGCAGATCAAAGTACATGTACAGTGCTGGCCAAAGAAATCGAACCTCGTGAATAAAGTAGCGCCGCGTTAGAATGCACAGACCAGTGTGTGCAGTGCAAGGGGTGCGTAGCGCCTGGCGCTATTTTATCTGTCCCTGCGGGAATTTGCGGAAAAGACTTGCGGCAGAAAGTAACAAAAAGTGCGGAATGATGCAGAACTTGCCAGGAATTTGCGGAATTATTTGCAGAAAATTGCGGATTTGGACCAAATCACGAAATTTGTTGCATCGTATATCTACTCGGGAGTCGTAGTGTGCAAATAACCTACAGGATCATGGAAAGAACTGTGTGAAAAGTGCCAAAAATGTGAGATACGGTGCAGAAAACAACAAAAAACGCAGGAAATCGCGGGTTTGGGCCAAAATCGCGAAATTTGTTGCATCCGTGGAATCGCGATTTCCTGGAGGGACAGTTATATTCAAGAGGTTGGATTTCTTTGGCCGGCACTGTCATGTTCTCAAGTGGTAAGCAGCAGCTTTCGGCCTGCTTATCAATAAAGTAATTCCACCTCCACCAAACGCGCTCTCTGGCCGACCTCACACACCAGCAACATGACCCCAAGTAAGTTGTAGATACTGACAAAATAATATTTTTAATTATTGCACTGTACGTACATGAACGGAAAAACCACACAGCAGCACACACTTATCATTAGCCACTGGTGGTGAAGTGCACAATCCCCTCCCCCCCCCCCCCCCCCCACACACACACACAGCAATCCAAAGAATAGGATGTTCAGTTGTAAGTCCTTGCATACATGGTTTTCGTGAATGAATAGATCCTAGCATAGATGTCCAGCTCGACAGAACAAAGTGTTCCCATGGTGGATACAAGACCGGTGACATTATTATAATAATTATTATGACGGGTATTCTGGCACTCTAGTACATAGGCCAGCAACCATACACTATACGAGAGCGCAGCTATGGGGCCTACTACTAGTACAGGGCGTAGAAATAAAATACCGGTGAAGACAGTAAAAAAGTGTACTGCAAACATAATGGGAGAGACACGCTGCTGGAGTACCCGAACAACAATGCCGCCACTCAACTGCCATTCACTCGTAACTGCCGTTTCTTCTCCTTCTTTTTTACCTTCAAATGCTCAATGTCGGTGCGGGAGAGTTTGGGCTTTTTCGGTGGAGGCTGCTCCGGGCCAATGGTCAATTCTTCAGTGTCGAAATGATGTTGCATGTGACGGATGGTATGATCTTCACTGCTACTGGCAGCTTTCTGAAAAAGAGCCGAATTTTTCTGGAATTTCCCAGTGTAGGGATTGAATGCTCCTTGGACACTGTACTCCTCATACTGCTTGACATAGCCGCCGGCACTAGTGCCGTTGCCATGGCTACTGTGGACACCACTACCAGTGCTTACACTACCAGACTGTGCTACATAGCTGTCAACAGTGCCACAGCTGCTGGCAGTTGGTGTTGATACTGCAGCAGCATCGCTGCTGCTGCTACTGGGTAACTTATCGGGTGAAGCCACAGGGCCGGTTGGCATCTCCGCTGTCGCTGCTGCAGCAATGGTTGGCGATGAGGCACTGGGAGCTGGAGAAGACGCTGGTGACGAGCCACTGCAAGACCCACTAGCAGCGGGAGCGGAAAGTGAGGTATCTTCAGCTGTCAGAACTGGCCGCTCAGCTACAACTTGCCACCACGGCTTGTCGGTGGCTGTTAGCTCTGCTGGCTTATCCACAGAGCAGCTGTTGTTGGTATCCTTGGGTTGCTCTTCAGCTTTGGCCTTGTCGATACGACTCAGCAAAGCTTCAAGCTGATGAACCTCCTCAGGTAAAGAAGCCAACAGTTGACGTTCTGTTCTTCCAGGCTGTTCAGCAGCTTCTTCGTCCACAGTACTCCCAGCAGTAGTCTCACTAGGCTTCTTAGCAGTGTTCACAGCAATGTTTATAGCTGTATAACTAGCCGCTGTTGGTTTTGAGTTCGGTACTGGGATCGGTACAAAAGGAGCAGGCAAGGATGATGATATGGCATGAAGTGCAGCCTGCTGACGCACATGAGTGGCATACCATTCGGTGTAGTCTGCTTTCTGCGCCGATGTCAACTGTTCCCAGTAGATATCCCAGTCACTGCCCTGGCCGGCAGCATCATGCTCTGGACCAACAACAGCATCTTCAGCTTCGGTGACTGGTTTATCTTCTAAATCCTCCTCCTTTGCTGGTGTGTTGCACGTTGGTGACTCAGAACCTGGAGATGGAGAGGCACCATCGTCCGTTTTGCTGCACATTGCAATAAACAAGCCAAACAACACACGCAGGCACACATACAAGCACAAGCACACATGCACACACGTGCAAAATACAGATCAATCAAGAGAACTACGATTATGAAGACTTGCAGACTCCACTGAATCAAGCTTGAGCAATCCACAAGAAGCCCTAGTGTTTTCCTGCTTGAAATCTCTACCTCACAATTCAATTTTGACGCTCCCTCCATCCTCAGCAGATAACAGATACGATCATTTTCCTGACGTTTTTTAGTGGTTAGTTGTCAATCTGCAAAGTTCGCCACAAGAAAATGTTCTGGAATCTGAATCAATCATGGTGGCCGGTGTGTTGGAATGACGGCACAGCAAATCCTTTTCATAAATAAACCATACAGCAGCAGTGACAGCGGCAGCAACAACTGGCAACAAGCCCCGGTGGAAGAGTGGCAGAGGCATACCATGCTCATAACAAATGTTAAACTACTTTGACATCACCACTATCTCAAGGAAAACCTTCATCATCAGTATCTGCATGTAGTACCATCGCGACCAAAGGACAGAGAGAGAGAGAGAGAAAGAGAGAGAGGGAGGGGGGGGGGGAGAGAGAGGGAGAAGAGAGAGAGAGAGAGAGAGAGAGAGAGAGAGAGAGAGAGAGAGAGAGAGAGAGAGAGAGAGAGAGAGCTGATCAGATATCGCTTACCCGGGATCAAGATCTACTGGTTCATCATTCACACCAAATATAGCCTCCAGCGATGTAGCAACCCAGTTCAAGTTGAAGCCATAGCCACAGCTGCGACACTGGAACGATGGCACCTCCTGACCATCTGATACAAACAATAGGCCACAAACCCCCACCAGTGCAACGTCAGTACACACAAGCATGCACATAATCGTGGACATATCAGGTACAGCACATCAGCAACACAGTGGTGCAATGAAGTCTGCGGATAGGATTCCTAAAACAATTCCTAAAAAATGTTTGGTAACCTTAAACCTCAGTCACTCCCTTGTTACCATTATACAAGACACTTGAACACAATAAGTTAGTAAGTTAGACAAAGACCAAAACCAACATACAATGTACTTATACAGTTCAACTTACAAGCAATCCACATTCAGCAACTTGAGACGTCACAAGGTTTAAAAAATTATGTAGTACCGGTACCTACTGGATGACGGGCAAAATTCGCCCCTACTACGAAAGTAAGTACCTCCCCCTCCCACACACACACACTCGAGCAAAGTAGTGAAAAGTCGCCATCACCATGAATGAAGCCATGTCGTGCCCGAGTGCATAGTCTAGTGTTTGTAGCGCAGGAGCCGTGGGGTGCTGGGCACTGTTTTATTCAACATGGAGCCGTGGGGTGCTGGGCACTGTTTTATTCAACAGAGGTCTGGGGATTGCACTGTCCATCACTGCAGTAGCGGCCCGTGTCATCAATACAGACTGACTGACTACTAAGTATGATAGTACACTGTACTGCTCATGGATAAGCACTGTCAGAGAAGGGTAGGCATAGGATAACACACGGGAAAATCGGATTCACTCAGAACTAACCTTCTGGTGGAGGTAGCTTCTCAGCACAGCCGCAGAGCAGGAGGTTGCGTAACAGAGGTGGAAGATCAGCGTCTGGCTGAGACTCCGGGCATAGAATAATGTACACAACATCGGATGAGAAGCAGTACGGGCACGCACCAGTCATGGACACAGGATACACTGGAGCTGTGGCAGATTGATCATCGTCCTTCCCTGTCCCATCGCTGCCACCATCAACAGTTGCGGCATTTGTGACCACTACCGAGTCTGCACTATTTTCCTTACCCGCTGCATCACTGCCAGGGTTGTCTACCTCATCTGTTGCTTCATCTAACACTTGCCACTCTGCAATATTCGATGGTGACAGCATACTCAGGTCATCATTACCAACACCGTCGGGTGACAGCACATCGGCTGTCATAGATGCATCGTGATCATCACCACCAGCGGCAGCAGCAGTGCCATGACCGGTGCTAGTATCTTCCTCTTTTCCTTCCTCATTGTCATCATCATCATCATCATCGTCGTCATCATCGTCTGACGAATACACTACCAGATTGGAAAGCCTAACTGAAGCAGGATTGGCAAGAGTGCCAGGAACACAGCTAGTTGACGAAGTGTCCTCACTGCCCCCTGTACTGGCTGCAGCTTGCCTTGTTGTCCTACTCTCCTGTGGGACAAGCGATGCTAGTGGCTGATTGGCAGAAGAAGCCATAACGGCACCATACGGATAACGGAATGCAGGACTACTGTCGACGGCTAAGGATGAGTATGGTTTAGTGACGGCGTTGGAGTGGAGGTACTGTGGTTGGGTGATGGAAGGAGATGCTGAGATGTTTGACACACTTGTGGCAAGATTAGAACTTGCAGACTTTTCAGTAGTTGTAGTAGTAGTACTAGCTATCATAGTAGATGTGGCGGATGATAATTCATACCCATCACGCTTATTATCTAAAGCAGCTGTCACAAGTGAAGTTGAGCCTGAAGTACGAACTTCGCTATGTACATGGCTTGCAATTTGTGAAACATTATCCTTGCCTTCCTTTGGATCAGGTACACATTGAGATGCATGTGCCTCACCCTCACCCGGAACTCCCTGAACAGCACACTCAGCAATAGAAGACATATCTGAAGCGGTGTCAGACACAGGCTGATCTGTGGCATCGCAGTCTGCACTCGTGCTAGTAGTAGAGTGTCTCTCCGATTCCACATTGGTTGCTGCTATTGCATCTACGATTGATGGCGCTTGCTTCTTTCCCTCTTCTTGAGACGGTGAGTCAAATGCCATGTGGCTCATCAAGATGCTACTGACAGTGTTTCGCACCTGTGATACTTTGTTTGTTTGTTGTTTATCACTGACATTGGCGTGGCTTGCACTGCTTCTTGACTTTCGGCGAAGAGCAGCAACCCTTTGCTTGGCAGCTTGCTCATCGTAGGTCTGTGAGAAGCTAGCATTGCTGGCACGCAACACCTCCTGAACATTGACAGCACTCCATGATTCGGAAGACATAGCGCAGTTCTCTTGACCAACACCGCCAGCTTCGGTGGTTCCTGCAGCAGCATTGACGGGCATTGGCGCGCTGTCGCCAGACCTGGATGACTTAGAATTCAACACACGATTTTGATAGAACTGCCAAACTGTGCTAGATACTCCATCCGGGCAGGTCTCAGGCTCCTCGGTGATCTCGCCACATTCGGAAGAGTCATGATCAGTGTTGAATGATGCCACTGGTGTTGGAGCTGCAGATTTGATACCGACGTTAGAGACAGTGTCAGGCTCATGTACCTTACTATCAATACTGGAATCAGTGCTACTTGGCAGAGTTGGAGCAGCAACACCATCTTTGATACTGGAGCAGGTACCAGCTATGGCTGTGTTGACAGAGGAGGCAGTCTGAAAAGTTCTATTTGTCGGCATTTCCCGACTACTGTCGCTTGCAGATGCTGAGAACTGAGCTGCAGGACTATCAGCAGCATTATGACTATCCGCAGTACTGGACAGGTCTGGTCGTTCAGACTGTTGACGAAATGCAACATTGTTCTCCGCCGAACCAAAAGACTTCCATTTCTGCTGCTGTGGCTGATCGGCATTGATACTGGGTCTGACAGCAGCAGCAACAGCATATCTGGTTGGTGAGCTGTCCTTTCTCTCTTCGCGAAGGGACACGTTCTTGACTGTGGCATTTGACCACCGTGAACGTTTTTCACCGGATGTTGTTTTACGTGAAAGCAGCAACGACTTGTTCTTCTGTTCACCGTGCTGATGGCCGATATTAATCTCACATTCCTTGCGCACAGACCGCAATGTGGATGCGATGGTGTCTTGCAATGAAGATGGTGCAATCGTGCTAGCAGAGGGCATTGTCGGCTGATTGCTATTGCTGAATACAACCGGAGCGGCGCTGGGAAAGGTGGGCTGCAGCTGTTTCAAACACTCATGACCTGGATATGTGAACACCATGGCCATACGCATGCACAAGCACACCCCGCATGCACACCCCGCATGCACACCCACGCACACCCACACACAAGCATGCACATCCACACCCAAGCACGCATACCCACACACAATATCATAAGTGGTTGGGTCCTCACCAAGGAAACACATCTGTTGCTATTCCGTGTTGCTACTTAGAGTTTCTTGAATCAATCACACATCAGATGATGTAACAAACTGAAGCAGGGACATACGGACCACTGCAACATATACCAGCTACACAGCAAGACACACAAAAGGAAGTGTGAAGTGTGACCAGTCGGGGAGATGTCCTATCTAGGACATCGCACTCTGAATGAGTCTGATTGGTTACCTGTCCCAGAGTTGTCATGGAAGCGTCGGTCGCGCACACGCGATGAAAAGAAGTGCTGCGTGAGCATTTCTGAATGTATGTGGAGGATGCACGATCGTAATGGCGATGGATTTCTTTCCGAATTGGTCAAGTTTGAGGGAATAGGCGGAGAATATCAGACATCGGCGGGGATTGAGGTAGTGTATATTCGATTCTCCATCGAATACCCGACCGAATGGCCGTTTTCGTTTGGGGATTTCATGTGGGGTTTCTCGTAGCCACGCGGCGCTTCTTTGGAAACGATTGGTTCTAATTTTGAATATTTTGGCTTTGGAATGTTTCTTCACCATGTTCACGCCCCGTGCGTTCATTTCGCCCCAAACCTGGCCATGCAGAGGAGGAAGACGAGCCAGCAGGCGCTAGGCCCGTAAATTACTGCCTGGAAGATATTATTTGGCCAAAGCTTGCTGTTGGCGTTTTTGATTTCTTGGATACGACAGCTCTTGGCTAAAACTGGACCTTGGACGGTCTTTCTTGGATATCAACCCAGGACGTGGTTGTCATGGACGTATCGCCATCGCTTTCAGCCAGATCCTTCTGCTGCCTGAAGCCAATGGCGAAAGTAAAAACTTTATCGCAGCAGCAGCTACTGCTCTGCTGAAAGTGCGAACACAAATTGCTTCGCCAATCCTCTTGTGCACTTGCAATTTTCAATTTGACCAAAACGATTCGCTTGCCAGTTCCTTTGTCCAGGCGTACTCCACAACGAGGAAAATAAAATTCGTGAAGGTAAGAGGCAAGATACGAATCTCGACTCGCTTGAGGCAAGCCGCCAGGAGAACGACAACTAATAATTACTTTTGAGACGAAAGGCCTTCGTTGCGTTTGTTTTGAGTGCGACATGTTCATCTTCCTCGGACGCGACACAAAGTTTTGAGTCACGTGTCACGATTACTATGGGAACAGCATAGTATGTATGCTGGGGCATGCTGGGTTCCGTGATGTCCTATCTAGGACATCACCAGGACTGGTGACAATAAGATACGATGACAAGTCCATTTCATAAGATGCTTCACTTGGCGTGACGAGTACCGTAGCTCCTAGTTGAGTCTGGTGTTAGTTCCAGTGACAATGGTGCAGCATGTCCTGGTCATACACTACTAAGCAGTAGGTACTGGTGGTGAAGTTGGCAAGTCAGTACTTATTGTTACGCATGTTCGTATACAGTGCTGCTCAATGAAATCCAACCGTGTGCGTCAAGTACAGGATCATGACCCAGCATCCACGCACATACAGCCACATGGCACTCTCCAAACGAAGAGCACAGACCCCGGTCTACTGTATCATCTCGCGCAAATGAGTCAAGGATGACCTGATTCGTTGTACTGAAAGTTTTTCACGAGACGCAGACGAGACTCAACCTCCCCGAAAAAAATTCACGATTCGTGTTATACTCAATTACACTGAGCTCTCAGCATCCGTAGGAACGTCATCACCCGCACAGGATCGTTACCCACCCCAAGATTAGGCCGCAAAACCCAACTTTCTCACTTGTCAACGAGTGACTGTACCTCCGTATAAACGTGGTGCGAAAATGACTTACCAAGCTCCATTAGCTGGCGCATGTCCACGGGCTCTCTTTCTTCACACTGGATCTGTGCAGAGGGACGAACATGGGAAAAGGATGGCAAACAAACAACACAAGAATCAACTTCAAGCTAGCACAGTGTTTCTCAGGACAGGCCGCTCAATGTTTTGCTTGTGGGCTCGTTTCACAGGATACTATACTATACCCATGCTATGAAAGGCGCACAAACAATATCGGGGCTATGTTTCTTGTTGCTCCAGAGAAGTCGAAATCAAATCAACCAACATTTTGAGGTTCCTAGCGCTCGAGTCAGAAATTAGTACATTGCGCAAAGCTTGGATACAACAACATTGGTAATAAACGACAGATCATCGATAAAGACGGAAACATGTTGACTGCAGCACCATGTTTACAGTACGCCGGGATCGGTTGAAGTGACTTATCGGAAATAATGCCTGCCTGTGTCGTTTTACACGAGCTTGACTGCACTCTTTGATACTGTACAAAAAGTGAAAATTGAATCACGGTGTCTTGGTGAAACTTTGAATGAGCCTATAAAGTCGTATTCTAGTTGCAAGTCTATCCCTTATTTCTGGGGTAATTTTGCGAATAAAAGGTCCACTAACAACCGATAAAATATGGTAAAACGCACCATGTCTCGGGTCAAAGCGAATGCAGCCGGCAAGGTGGTGTAGCGCCAGTCCAGATTGAAGCAGCCACGCAATGTAGACATAGTCGTACACTGATCACAACAGATCATACTAGGTAATTCCTGTGCAAACATCGAAGCACAATCAGAAGGGAACGAAAAAGATGGAGACGAAAGCAGAAGGGCCATGGTATTCAATAATGAGAAGAAAGAAAAGAATCCACACTCCGAACGGTACGCAGCTGCAGTGTCCACCCGACATCACTCATTACAGCAAAAGTTTAAAAACCATGCTTTGAAAAACGTCTTTGCCATCTTGCACAATACACCATAGTAGCTTACTACAGTTGAACATCGATTATCCGCACATCGACTATCCGACCATTCGATTATCCGTAACAGTTGTTTTGGGCGCACGTGCCGTAGAGTACGCACTGTGCATGTAGTGAGCCATTCAAAAAATACGAAAAATTTGAAAAGTAAAAAGGTCGTGCGGCTAGTAATAACCACTGAAAGTGTGTGAGTGACAGTTTTTTCTTATCCGGAACATTTGCCTTATCTGAACACCGCCTGACAGTTGTCTGCCCAGAGGTGGTCGGATAATCGATGTTCAACTGTATCGTGATGTATACTGCACATGGAGTGGTTGTCCATCAACCCATGCCAAGAGGACAATGGCTTCATCGCCAACCAGGAACATCTCACATCCCCTTAAACGGCGAGCATTGACAAGCAATTTTATGGCTTTTGTGTAGGAGATAATTGATTCGCATGGAAATACCAGTACCGTAAAAGCCCGTGTATATGCCCCGGGCGTATAGAATAGCAGCCTCGATTTCCTGGGCGTATACAAGGGCACGGGCGTTATTTTAGAACCGGGCGTATACTTGGAATAGGGATAGCAGTAAGTATTGGGTATCAGTACCTGTACATGTACTGGTGTTTCCGGCATACCTGGGCGTATACATGGGCATGGGCGCTATTTTGAAACAAAAGTGTTGACTTCCCCTGACTGGGCATGTACACGGAGGGTGGGCGTAATTTCGAGTGGGCGTATACAGGGGCTTTTACGGTATACGAACAGACACAATGCCCAAAACGTGAGAACGTCGGAGTTCTTCAGCGCTTGGATGAGTTTGTATATCCTAGTTCAATAGTAAGCTAGAAGTCAACTTCATCATGGTGTGAGAACTGTGGCAATACGACCGGTGAGAAGGCATAGTTTGCCTGTGCCTATGGAGAAGAAAAATAAAGCTAAAGAAACAAACAGCAAGTCCATACAGAGCTCTTGTGCAGGTCATGCGATTACATTTTTTTGGAACATGCCATAATTGCCAGCAGATGCCACTGCAAAGTGATAGCGTACAAGTACATTTGTACATAATGTACAGAGTATGCGTACCGTTGTACCAACGAGCTGCTCCAAGCCAATCACAGCACGGTTAGTCTTCAGAAGTATGCGGAATACAGGCGCCAGTATACCTGATGAGAAATGCCTACGGCAATATCATGTAAGACAGTGAAACACAGAGTGAACACAAACCCAGAAAGAAGACGCAATGATTATTATCGAAGAACATTCTCGAATACCTGGGTGATGCACGAATTTTGATTGTGCTCACTTCCGTTCATCGTTTTTTTCTTTATAATTTTCCACTCATTTTTGCTTTAATTAATATTCGCTTTGTTTTCCTAGCTTACTATTGCCGTGGCTGGCTCAACGCCCTTGTCTCAGGGGATTCTGTCCCTGCATTAGCTATGCTTGTCACATGCTATGAGATTGTGTCTAATAATATTAAAGAGCTGACACATTACCACCACTAGGAAACACTTCAAGATTTTCATTCTTCCCCCAACATGGTAAGAATTGGGAGATCTTGCTATGTTTGAGGGCACTGGACCGGGTACAGAATGATGATGAAGTGCGCACAAAATGTGTATAAACCTGTAGGACGAAGCGGGCGTTGCACTGTTTTCCGTCCACACAGCACCAAAGGTGCAGTAGTACTATACGCTATACTATTAGAACCTATTTTATAGTGCAGGAAATGTGCGAGGATGACATCACAGTGATATTGTGTACGTATTCTACAGGCCTGGGGAACTTGAACATGCCGGTAATATCTCTAACATGCAGCCATGCAACAAAATCACAGTTCGCGTGAGACTCAGTTAGGCCGCGGTCACACCGCACACTTTTCAGCCATTCAGCTGAAGATGCATGGAAATGTTCCGCCTTTTCCATGGTAACGGCTGAATTCCGCAGCTATTCTGTTGAGCGTCTTTCAGCCAAAAAAAGTTAGGCTGAATTCTGCCTGCCACATTCAGCCTTGATCATGCTTTTCATTGAGTTTCCATCGATAGCCCAATTTTCAGTTGGATTGGCTTTCTCCCATGGTGCTTTCACGTCCTTTTCAATGCGAGTGTCCTCTCCACCATATCTACTGACGCATGGACTCTGCAGCCGGAGGCGAGACCTGTTGTGAAGCTGACAGTCATTCTCTCAAGACCCAAAACGTCAAAAATAAAAGTTTGATGATCGTCGTCAGCTCAGGAAAGCCTAGAAAGTCGTTGCAGGAGAGCAATGCTCTTGTCGGTTACAGCTGGATCCTGTTCCTTTCGAAAATAACTCGTGAGGGAGCTGCATTGAGAGAAATCTCAAAACAGGTGATCTATTTCAGAGTAAAAATGATGATCAGAGAGTTTGAAAAATTCTAAAACACTTTTAAAGCATGTTTCAGTCATTCAGCTGGTGCTGAGAATGCAGGGTGACCAGACAGTCAGCTGAATGGAGCTGAAAGCGCAAAGAGCGTTTCAGCTGGCCAACCGAAAGCTACGAGCAGTGTGACCGTGACCTAAGAGACCGAGTGGGAGCTCAGGGGTTCTCCCGCGGGAAATATTTTTTCTGAAAATTGGGACCAAATAGCCTATATTGTATTGCTTCGAAACTCTCAAAATGAAATTATTCGTGTGTCTTTGGCCGTACCTGCCGCACCGCACCGGTACCCTGCTTTGACACTCAGAGGAGGTTTTAAAAACACTTGATAAGTACAGACCACCCAAATGTAATACAAGTGCACATGCGATGGTTGCAATTCTCATAGAAAAAGGAGAAAGAATTTTAGACTACAGATCACATCAGATTCCTACGTGATCACTATGCCAAATCACGACAATGATTTAGAAAGCACCAAGCGATTAAAACACTGTGCTATTTAAAAAGGAAGAAAAAAGTACTTCAAGTAACCGATTCACTTCCAAAAGAGAGAGAAATTGATTCCCTTCGAGATGATCATGTGTGTATGTGTGCTGATGAATATGTGAAATTAATCGTCCTTCTACGGTGTAACTGAGAGTTCATCAATCGCTTTTACCAGTAATTTATAGGTGTGGATTAGCAACATGCCAATTGCCAATTTCCATGTTCACAATTGTAACATTTGACATACCTTTGCTGAATCACGTAAGCCACGTCACTCGACTTGCAATTGGGACACGTCCCATCCCGTGACAGAGGGTAAGGTGCCATAATTGAACACAACTACGAGTTCTCCACTACTCAGGGCTCACATTGATAGGGTGCTATAACTATAGCTCGTATTCAACAAAGTACTCAGTACATGTACAGTACTCCGACTTCATCTGTTCATACTTTCTTTGAAAACTCACTTTCTGTACAAAATGAGGCGGTACTTTACGGTATGTGTGTAAATATGTACGACATTTACCTGGCCACTCATTACCATGATTACGTCATACATGAGATCAGATTTTTATGACTCTCTGACCTGAGTACATCATGACATGAGTGTCAAGAAGAGACTTCACTGATTCCTGGCTCTCACAGTCTCAGACTCTGGCCAAGATGAAGACCACCGAGACTGGAGTCTTCAACCCCCCCCCCCCCCTTCATTACTGTAATAGCCTCCTGGATCAGTGGATCATGTGTGATTCAGGCGCGTGCACCGCCGTTGGAGGTGGTCGGACAGGAGGGGTCGGGGAGGTCTTCCCGTGAAAAATTTGAAATTAGGGTGCAAAATCCTGCGCATGATTCTGGGCACTTATGCCATTGTGTTAAAAAAAGGGGGTCCGGCCAAAGCCATACCACTACCAGCCGAACTAGCTGCTACGCCCCTGGGATTACACAATGCACAGGATAATAACTTAAAAAATAAGTCCAAGCAGTGTCTCAGTGTAGGGTCAATCTTGTTTACATGTATGTCCAACGACTAGTCACTACGTGGACGCGGCAGTGGAAAAAAGTTAGCTCACTGCGACCATATGATTAGCAACATGGAGTTGCCTGCATAAGGGTGACCCTGCCAACACACTGAGCACATTGATGTACTGCCGGCATGTGACAGTGACTGTGTGTACAGTTTGCGGACTGTTCCTGTTGCCAAGAGAGCCACGGCTACTCAGTTCACGGCTACATAATCACAGGGTCCTGGGCATGGGCTCCATCATCGGTGGACCTTGAATCCCGCGTCACAATGCCAAGGCCAGTGAGGCTCAGTAAGACAAAAGACAGCCTTTGTGAGAAACACTGAAGTACATGTACAAGAAGCTACACAAGATTAATTAGTCCCAAAACATTAAAAAAAATCACCATGCATAGTCGAGCGGTGCAACTATGGGAGAGAGGAGGGAAGAGTAAAGAACGGGAGACTAATAGAACTAGAATACGAACAGACTGAATGCATAGAAAGCAGGACAGTGAACGTGACTGTAAGTGGCAGTATCGCTACTGACACTGGGGAGCTAGGAAAGGAAGAAAAATTTAGCTTGTGATAGCAGCCCTTTGTGGCAGTCAATATACAGCAGAAACTCAACATGATCCAGACCAATTACTACTGTGGAAAATCTACTTTAATAGTAGCCACTATTGCAGATGCCTACAAGGTATTGAGCAATTCAAGGTCTTGATAATAATAAAGGCATGATGTCGCACGACAGTACTCAAATATAAATGACTGTATGAGAGTTATTATAGCCGTGACACGGTGACAGCATCCCAAATAATATAAAGCAGCAGGTAGGGCTGCACCTCGACTAACAACTGAACTAGTCTACACAAAGTACATGTATAGGCCATGGAGCAACACCTGGCAAGCAGGAAACAAAGTACCGTACAGATCTACAACTGAGCAAACATTGCATGGTCATAATGATTGTACAAGTACTATAACATCAACACTGTGATGCACCCTTTGCGGAATTTGAGGGTGATAATCCAGGCTCCACTACTTCAAAACCAGTACAAACCAGGCTCCACTACTTCAAAACCAGTACAAACCACATATAAATCAGGTCATGTGGTTGGCTACAATGGCTTGGTAGATTATCCAACAGCAAAGCACCAGAACGCACGAGACCAAAGCGCATTATACCGGAACGAGAGTGCAGTCCATTTACCGGTAGGTGGATAGCTTCCATAATGTGCAGGTCTCACATGCAATGGTGCTCCAGCGCATGCAATCCTACATAGGACACCAGAGAAAAGAGTCACAAAGCCGGTTCAGTTGCTGCCGAGAACATGAGAGAAAAGATTGACCACCTCGGTGCAGTTCTTCCGAGAACCAACATGCATACAACTCGCCCAGCAACCACAGCTCATAATAATAATAGTGACTCATGAAAGCATGCAACTGAGGGTTAAAGTGCATGTACTCTCTAGCAGAATAACACTTTTTTTTTCAGGCAGACAAAATTCACAGTGGGTGCGTTTGATTACGCCCACGAATCGAATCATGAATGGAATCTCGTGCATGTCGTTCGATTTTCATGCCATGAGCCCTGGAAGCGGTATGTAATCGATTCATCCTATTCGCATGTGGTGATGAGAATAGCCAGGGGTAAATCATGAATAGACGAAATCGATTCGTGGGCAAAATCGAACCCACTGCCCGTGTACCAGTTTCAGCAAATCCCGTCAAATATTAATTTTGAGTTTATTATAGTACAATGTCACTATCTTCCTGGGGAGCAAGCTGAATGGCAAAATACAGCTTTGGCAAGTGAAATCCTGACCGATTGATATACACTCGCAGCCCCGAAGGCCTCGGTGTCCTGAGAGCGGGCTCTGTTTCGAGCACACGCACATCATAAAAAAATGCGTTGGCGGCCTTGAAATTGTCCATTGGTTCAGATGTCATTTGCCACAACTGTAGGTATTACCGTAGTAAGAATACTGGCAACAAGATAACTCACGTCTTATCAGCAGCATATCTTGCCTGGAACCTAAAGTCACCGTTTCTTTGATGCTGGCATTGATGCCGATGACGATGATGGTAAAGATGAAGTGCCAGTAGCTGCTCTGCTTCCAAGATCACTGCCAACATCTGGGTATGTTATGGCACGAGAGTGTGATTCACCAGGCTGTTGTTGCTGCTGCTCGTCCAATAGAGCGGTTTGGTCCAATAGAGCGGTGGTTTGGCTATCCTGGCTGTTTAGAGATTGCATGCCTGTACGGCCAGCATGCACAGCTGTGCGTTTAGCAAGTGCTCTGCAGAATAGGCAAGACAACAACAGACAGGGACAATAAGCAACAGGAGTATAGACTAGTGTCACTCGTTTTTGTTAGTACTACGGTACATAGCACTACAGTACATAGCACTACGGTACATAGCACTACGGTACAGGTTAGTGCAAATTTCAAAAAGGATCCAAGTAAAACTGCAACAAACCTCCCACCAACACAATGGCAACCAGAAACCAAAACGAGAGAAACAAATTCAAATATTACAAAGCAACAGCAAAAATAGAACAACAACACAGTCAACAAAAATGGAAAAAAGCCATTCGATAGACAAGTAGAGGTTTGTACTATAGTAGTACAGTACAGGCAACTGCAACTGCACAAATTCAACTATTACGAAGCACAGCACAGCATTAGAAACAGAAACCAATCATTATATTAAGGCGGAGTGATTTACATCTTGAATTTAAACAGCATGCAGTATATTATACTGCGTGCTGTTTAAATTCAAGATGTAAATCTGCCTACAACATCCACAACTGTCACAAGAGGAATATAGCGCGTGCACGCACACCCACGCGTGCTACGCGTGCTGAACTGCGCCGACACCCACGGTCAACTGGGTACTCACAGCTTGGAGTGAGAATAACAAGGATGCAGTTTACAGGGTTATGGGCCGTTACACGCCCGATTGGTTGAGAGACTAACCTCCTCTCCCCTGACTCACTTGTGAGGTCTGCATTCGCCACTAAGGTTAATAGGCATAGTGGTTGCCTGCGGATGCGAAGGCTAGTTTGTGTGTTTCTGAACATTCAAGCGATGCCGACGCGGATCCCGCGAATATTATTATTATTTACGCACACCCACACCCTGCTCTGTAACTTCAGCAAAAAACAGCACTGGTGTTCCCAAGCACAGTCAGCCGCTGAAGTTAACGCATGCGAGAAAGTAGTGACTGCACTGGATAAATAGATTCAGCCCAAACCAAATACTACTTATAAAGTAGTAGCGTGGTCAAATAGCATGCCCGGTATGCGTAGGAGACTGTATTGTCAGGGGCGAGAAAGTGCGGACCTGTTTCATAATCAACTTGACTTGGCCCACAAGACAAGTTCTGTTCTACCACGATCACA